GGGGGGGGGGGGGGGGACTTTGGTTTTATTAATATTCAGTCAAATGAGTTTCATAAGCACTTCTTAACTGAACTAAATTGATAATACAGTGTAATTCCAACCTTGTTTGTTGCAAGCAAATGATTTATTTTCCCTATGAAGTCATCTGAGGTTAAACCTAAGCTAAGATTTCAGAATACTTAAGGCATTATGTGTTTTCTCATATTTGTCTTGTGGATTCTTGTATTCCTCAGGATCTGAAGGATGAAAAGAAAAGAGCTCGGATGGCCGCCGCACGTGCTGTGCTGGAGAAATGCACCATGATGCTCCTCACAGCCTCTAAGGTAGGATTGTGGAAGAGAGTACCATCTGCTATCTAAACAATGTTAATATCAACCATTCTCACTCATGAATCACATATACGCATGTATTTGTGTGTAAAAATGTGTGAATGTGTTCATGCAGAAAAGTTTCAACTTAAAATGCAAATTTAGGAATAACTTAAACTTTTGAACGTCAAATAGTTTTGAAAAAATATCAGTTTTCACAAAAAAAATTAAGCAGCACACCTATTTTCAACATTGATAATGACAAATGTTTCTTGAACAGCAAATCAGTATATTAGAGTGATTTCTGAAGGATCATGTGACACTGAGGACTGGAGTAATAGCTGCTGAAAATTCAGCTTTACCATCACTGGAATAAATTGCAGTTTAAAATGTATTAAAATAGAAAACTTATTTTATTTTGTAATAATATTTCACAATATTACTGTTTCTATTGTATGTTTGATCAAATAAAATAATGCAATATTTATATATGTATATATAACATTTTAAATTATATATTGAAATTTTGCATTAGAATCTTTCCTGCACGCATAAGTAAGAAAACTTGTACACAATTATTATTGAATGAGAGCCATTATGTATGTTCACCTGAATTGCACTTAGATAATATATAAAAGGATTCATCTGGTAGTCCAAGATCTGGCAGTGGCTCTATTTTCAGATATATTGAGTTTTTTGTTTTTTTCCCATTTTGATTTAGTAAGAGAAATAAGTTATTATGAGTAATTATTAAAGCTGCAGTCCGTAACTTTTTTTTTGGTTAAAAATGATCTGAAATCAATATTTGAGCAAGTACATAACCAGACAGTGTTCAAAACTATCGCCTTACTTTAGCCCGATTCACAACGGTTAATTTATAATAATGTTTTCTAATTTGAGTCTTACGGGTAGGTTTTCGCGGGAAATTCGAGCATGGCACTGCGTCATTACATCACGTCTGTAAACATAAAGAAGTTGTCCCAGCTACTAGGCTATCACATGTGAGGATCCTGCAGGTGGAGGATCGTTTACAGCCTTTTCTCACAGCAGCTGGAATAATTAAATGTATCAATTTGATGGCGGATTGTAATCCAGAAAGGATTATGTGTTTATGAAACACTTGTGAATGAAATTAAATTATATTCCAGTTATAAATGTGCTTCTGATTACAGATAGCGTGGGATTACAAAGGTTTGTATTTTAAAGAAAACCAGTTCGAAGGGAGCATAATTTGCTTTTTGGGTAAAATAACTTCTTAATATGAAATTTGAATGGTATGACAATTAGAGATTAGACTGTCCAGAAATTGAAATCTACATGCTAATACACACTATACTCATAGTCACCAATGCTGATGTTGTTAAAATTAATCATTTGAGAATAAAGTATAACAATAATAATAATTTGCACGGTTTGATGTGATATGAGCTAACCGATCTTTAGATTTAATCACCATTGGTAGTGCGATTTATTGTAATGCTTTTTTCCTCAGTTGGTCAGAACAAACGTGTCAGACTTTTTACTTACTTGTTCAGATGACAATATATGGTGAAAATTCTTATTTGGGTCATATATTCCAAGACGTAGGCTAGAATCTGTGATTGCGAAGTACAGTAAATATCCACACCGGTGCGGTGACTGACTGCCACACATACTCTTCAGAACATTAGATTCATCCGAGCTGGAGCCGTACCGCCGCACAACCCACGCAAGGAAGATAATTCCGCACACAGCTGCAATTGCAGGTTTTCAAACAGAGATGTCGACAAAGAGGCAAAATTTATGGACTGCAGCTTTAAGTAGTAGTTATGTGAAAAGTGTTCATCTTGTCTGGAAATGAGGCTTTGACTTCAGCAACCACTCAAATGTTTGCTGTCTGTTTTTGCAAAAGGAACGGGGACTGTTGAAGTGCGGCATGAATCACATAAATACATTTTCACTTATGAAAAATTACAATGGTGTTATTATACTATTTTAGTATAAAATTTTCATATAAAATCATAGTTTCTAGACATGTACCATGTTACACCATGGTGTCGACGTCCCTTAGAGTATGGTATGCTATATGGGAATGACATAGCACCATGGTTGTCTATTGTCTATGGATTAACCATGATATTACCATCTGATATATCACTGATATTTTTTCATAAGGGTCTTTTCCATATTTGAGCTTGTCCGTTCCTCTAAAAAGTGTGTTTTCTTTTCTTATTCTGAAAAATGTAGTGAAGTGTAATAACATCCTGTTTACATGTCAAATTTTGCTCCTGTACTTTTGTTGTTCCTCTGCATTTTAAACATAATTTTTGTTCCTCTTTGCCTCTCAGACTTGTCTGAGACATCCTGACTGCGAGTCGGCACGGATCAACAAAGAAGCAGTCTTCCAGCGTATGCGTCTGGCCCTGGAGCAAGTCATTGAGATTGTGACTGACACGAGGAGCGGTGGGGAGGCCAAAGCACTTCCTGTCAGCATCTACGCTGGGATTAAAGACTTTAAGGTGCAAGTGTAGGCCAAGGGCTCTTGGATGAATGTCTCAATGGATAAAGTTTCTCTTTTAACGAATTAAAAAAAAAGAAGTATTGTTCAACCAGTCAAAAAAAATATATGCTACGGTTCAAAAGTTTGGGGTCTTTTTTTTTTTTTGAAAGAAAGAAATTGATACTTTTTTCATCACAGACACATTCAATTGATCAAAAGTAACAGTCAATACAATTTTACAAAAGTTTTTGATTTCAAATAAATTGTGTTCTTTTTTAACTTTCTATTTAGCGTCTTAGAATGATTTCTGAAGGATCATGTGACACTGAAGACTAGCGTAATGGCCGCTGAAAATTTAGCTTTGCCATCATAGGAAGAAATTACATTTTAAAATACATTACAATAGAAAACAGTTACTTGAAATTGTAATAATATATTTCACAATATTACTGTATTTTTGATCAAATAAATGCAGCCTTGGTGAGCGTAAGAGATTCTCTCAAAAACATTACAAAATCTTGCCAACCAGGAACTTTTGAATATAAATTATGTTTGGTGCTACTATTGGTACTGAGATTACAGGCTTCACTCATTAAGGTGGTCTACAAAATTTTGCAGAAGCAAAATACATTTTGACTGATAGTGATAATTATTTTAATGCTACGAATGGGTTGAAAAAATTAAATATCCCATATAATATGAAAAATGCAGACATTAGCCAATGTCTGTCAATATCATGAATCAGTATCTCACCAGATGGTTGTATGTTTGTCTTTCAGGTTAAAGTGGAGGGTCTGAGAGACTCTCTGTACTGTGTGTCCTGTGAGGCTGTGGCGGCTCAGCTGGAAGCTCTGATGGAGAAAACCGAAGACTTTACAGACTCTGCCTACACCAGCCACGAGCAGAGAGAGATAATCATACAGCTCTGCCAGATCACACGTCAGGAGACCAAACAGCTCATCAACACATGGAGACACGCGGTAAGATGGACACATACACACATTAGGGATTGCACTGACTAGTCATTAACCGCATGACTTGAGTCTCACTTGATGGTGGCAGCAGGAGGAAAACTCCAAACTGCATCCCAGTGTAGCTGTATGACATTGATTTTGTGTCCTTAACTTGCTCTTATATTCATATCTTAACACAAACTTTTCACTTGGCTTGGACATCTGTCCTTCACGTCTTTGTTGTGCAGTGTGTGAAGGATGGTTCTGCATGTCTACCCTCCTGTGGAGTAACTGTTAATGAACCTCACACCCTCACTGTGCCTCATACATTGGGAAAAATAAGTCTTGCAGTGCAAATCTATAGGTGTTTATTTTTTCCTGCTTAATAATTTTGAAAAGGGGGCGCTGAGATGTTTTTGGGGGCTTTTGGTTAAGGCGAGTTTGCACCAAAGATGTATGAGCCTGAAACTTGCAAAAGAAAGTGTTCTGCAACGGCCTAACACCATCTCTACACTGGATGAATCAAAGCGAACTTTCCATATCTATTTGTCCAGTTAGCGCAGTAGAGCAAGTGTGTGGAGTGCGTCAGAAATAGAACACGGCATCTGTTTACTGTAGCGCTCGTTCAGTGACAGAATTACTGATTATAATGGGTTTTATGTGCGGTATAGTAGTGTTACTCGCCATTATACCCCAAGACGCTGTATCCTTTCCATAGCAACGACTCTTGATTTTAGTGTTCGCTCAGCTTTCTGCACAGTTGCCAAACTTCCCATCAAAACATTAGTTAGCATTCTGACACAATAAAGCACGATATGCTTTTTTTCTTGTTCTTGTGTGGAAAAATGAACTTGTTTGCTGATTGGCTGCGATTGGTTTGAATGCCAAATACTAAAGAGTTTATTTAACGCTCAAAAATATAATTTATATAATTTTTATTGTTTTTTACTTATTTATTTGCTTCTTGGGAAACTAATGATAATGATATTTCAAGTCCAGTCAAATCAAATATCATGAATGTCATGACATGTCATTACATTTTTTAAATTATATATGGGCTAAATACATGCTTCAAAAGGGGGTCAGTAACATTTTCTACAATCTACAATTTGAAAGAACTGCTTTCTATTTGAATATATTTTAAAAATGTATTTTTCCTGTCATGCTAAAGCTTCATTACTCCAGTTTTCAGTGTCACATGATCCTCCAGAAATCATGCTGATTGCTGCTCAAAAAACATTTATTATTATTATTATAACTGTTATATACAGTATAGCTGAAAATGCTTATGCTGCTCAATAATTATGTGGAAGTGTTTTAATTTTTCACAGAGCAGAAATACTGAAATATAAATATGAAATGCAAAATAGAAATGTGAATTGTTTGAAATTATTTACATTTTAAATTTAATTATCTTTATTAAAATTATTAATGTCTTTACTGTCATTTAAATTTTTTATGGCACATGTACAATGCAAGACAAGGAACATGTCAACATCATAAGGCACACCACACTGACATACAAAAAAAGCAAGATTTGTAATTGAATGGACTCATGACTAATAAAGATATAAATCAGAACAGCACTAAAATAGTAGCTATTTTGACATTGAGGAGCATACCTTTCCAATCTTTCTACTTAGTTTTCTTTGAAAGCACAGTTTGAAATATTCTCACAAAATCTAAGAAATATAGTAAAGGAGGGTTTACATTTCTTCCATTTACATGTCTTGTGTAAATGTGATATTTAGCCACCAAAATTACCATGTTCAGTCAGAAAACACGGAATTCAGTATGGTCTTAAAAACAGCGTATTTCCTTTACTAAGGGATAAATATTATTTTTCATTTTCACTGAAAACTAATTGAAAACATCCACCCAAAATTTAGAGATAAATCACAGCAGTAAAAAGGGTGTTCAAAAGCTCCAGGAAAGGAAGAACAAACTGAAATATTTCTAAACAGAAATTTTTAACCAGTCTCTTTAACCTTTAATTTTCTTTTTTGATAAATTTAATGGACCCTTGAATTAAAGTATTTAATTTCTTAAAATCGTAATGACCCCAAATATTTGAATGGTATTGTAAATATAATAATAGTCCTCATTATAAACACAAAATAATAATCAACTTTAATATTCAGTGAAGATGATTAGACAACATTTTATTTGATGGGGGATGGTAGGGGACCTGGATAATGGGTAGGGGGCCCTGGCCCAAAAAAGGTTGCGAACCACTGCTTTAAACCATAGAGGGATGAAAAGAAAAGAAAGAGTCACAAAGAAGGAAAACATGGAAAAAAAGGAAAATATATGAAAAAATGAAGAACAAATGCATATAATGGTTTAATAGCAGCATTAATTTGAAGGTTGATAACTGACGTGGTATTCATTGCTATATACTGAATGGCTTGAGAAAGAAAAACCCTTTTCAAGGACAAAGATTGAGTCACTGCAGTTTTTGACGTTTTCTTTCACTTTACATATACAGGTAAACGTAAAATCTTCACAATTAAAAAAAAAAAGTAACGTTGAAATGTTAACTTTTATTCTTATGCATTTGTCTGAAGTGACTTCTGGTGCTTTAAATGGATTTCCTGGGAATCAAAGCCATGACCTCGGCATTACTAGTACCGCGATCTCACAAGAACACATGGCAAATATGAATAGTAGCCAAAAAATATGAGATAAAAATGTATGAAATGTAGGGTTCCCACAGTCATGGAAAACCTAAATATTAGGTAATTTAAAATTATTATTTTCCAGGCCTAGAAAAGTCATGGACATAAATCAAATCTTTAAAGTCAAGGAAAAGTTCTGGAATTTCTATTAATATAAGCTTTTCAAGTTATTTGCTGAACTATTTTCTAGGCTAGAAATTGCACTTGGGTATGTAGCAAAACTTGCTCACAAGCCGCAGTCAGATTTGCAACCACATTATTGAGTTGAATGATACATAGGGGAATTGGTCTGAATTCAAATGATTTTTATAAATTCAGAAATCACAGCTGACTGAAAAGGTCTTGGAAATGTATTGGTCAAAATGTGATGTTTCAGACACAGTTATCTTCTCATCTGTAGTTTTTGAGGACGTTATGCCTGCTTCTGATTAAACAGTTTCCCAGTTTTCATTAGTCTCATGCAGCCAGACGTTTGATGTGTGGTCCTCATTGCAGCTGATTCTGCCCCAGAATCGCCCACTTAGACAGGAAGAGACCAACATCTAAAGTGACAGTTTGTTTTGTTTTACATGATATTTAGGGGAGGATTTATCTGAAAGGGGTTAAACCAAAATAATAGTTTAGTGTAGAAATTTGAAAGAGTCTTTTAAAATGATAGACATTATGATCATAATTCCTGTTCCCCAAAAAGAAATAAATACAGTTTTTTTTGCCCACAAACAACTCAGAACACAAAGTGAAATATACGCTTCTGTTTGTAGAATACTAATTTGTTCATTTTCAGACAAAACGCTGATGGCAATCTTACAAACTTCAAATCTAGTGATTTGTTCGTCCTCAGAAGCATCATTTATGGACTCTTTATAAACAGCCAATCGGCTCGGAACTGTCCATTTTAAACAAGCTCCTGACATTTTTGAGTGCAACTGTCAGTAAACAGACCATGGGCATGAATTTGCCTCCCTCAAGCACTGCAATTTATTTATTTGAAAGAGTCTTTTAAAATGATAGACATTATGATCATAATTCCTGTTCCCCAAAAAGAAATAAATACAGTTTTTTTTGCCCACAAACAACTCAGAACACAAAGTGAAATATACGCTTCTGTTTGTAGAATACTAATTTGTTCATTTTCAGACAAAACGCTGATGGCAATCTTACAAACTTCAAATCTAGTGATTTGTTCATCCTCAGAAGCATCATTTATGGACTCTTTATAAACAGCCAATCGGCTCGGAACTGTCCATTGTAAACAAGCTCCTGACATTTTTGAGTGCAACTGTCAGTAAACAGACCATGGGCATGAATTTGCCTCCCTCAAGCACTGCAATTTATTTCTTCTTTCTGTCTACCAGTCCTTGAATATTTATGACTATGTACATGTCTCTGCTGTCATCAGCCAATATTTATTTAGAGACAGTGTTGTTTTTACATGGTAATATCTGGGTCGTTCCCCGCTTTACTTGTCCACCATTTCAGTGACAGAAATACTGTATTCGGAGTGTGTTCACTGAAGTTCAATGACTGTTTAAGTCCCAGTGTGATGTCTCAGAGTAAAGCACAGACGATGAGAGCGCTTCAAACATTCACACGGCTTCTGTGGCAAGTTTATGTTGGCACCCCGTCGTAATCCCATCTGAAAGCAATCCCACCCACCTGTCTGCCTGTCCTCTGAAGAGAAAACTGTGGATAAAGACTGTCATGTCTTACAAAGTCCGTCTTTCAGGTTGCTTGGGACACTGACACTTGTGTTGAAACTTGACAGCTCTTCAACATGGATGGTGCATGATCAACTGGTTGAAATTCATCATGTTTGCAGTGTATTAAATTCCCTTTCTATCGTTGTTTCTGTTTCTTTCCCTTCCAGCAGCAATCGCTTAAAGCCAAAGAGGCCACAGACGAGATGGAGCTCTCTATTTTGAAGACTGGTCAGAGTGTCAGTGATCTCAGGCGAGAGGTGAGATTCTTGTGACAAGCTGTGTGCAGGGAATGAATCCCATGAGCCAAAGCATCTAAAACAAAATCTAAATCTTTCTTCAGAGGCGTCCATCCCAGTGTTTCCTGTGTCATTATGCTGAATTTACAGTGCCATGACATATTTACTCAAGTTGTGAATTGAATGTCATGAATGTCAATCAAGCCACTGTAGTCTGATTCACGAACAAGTGACTATTATAAGGTAATTTTTTGGATGAATGGCTCAGAAAGATTCAGAAAATCCCGAGTTATCATTTTGTAATGAATCATTCACTGAATACATTAGGTTACTGAATCTGGTTCACTTACTAGTCTGCAAGTCAGCTTTCATGACTTTGAAGATGACTCGAAAATTAAAGCTGCTTTGTGAAACTTAAATTAGCACAATTGCTTTTTTTATTGAGATATAACAACATACTGTAACAACATAAATTATACAAGTTATTTGTTGACAGGCATTACAGAACTAAAGAATAAACAGTCAAAAAGATGCAAAGAGTTCAAAGAGGTTCCACAGTCTCTCGATATATGCAGAAATAAAAAAAGTACTGTGTGTGGGGTCTTATGTCCTGTATATATGGCATAATAAGACCTTATTGGGAACGATACAAAAAATGAGTAATTTATTTAAAATATATATTTATTTATTTATTTATTAATTATTATTATTAAATGAGAGTACGCTTACACGACAAAGATGTACTAAAAACAGAAACGTTTTTCCTTTATGTTTTTGAAAAGTTTTGTGTACAGACGATGTTGCCAAAATAATCCTCGTTCACATGGATCTGCAAAAATGACTAAAAAGGCTATTTTATACATGCCAGGCCAGCAGTTTGTAAATAAACTTGCACATGCCTATAGACTGAACATATAATACGCATGCACATGACGTCACCGTTTTCACAAATTCACGTTTTTGTATTTTGCATGGAGACAATAACAGTATAGTTTCCAAAAACTTGCACTTTGAACCCCATTTTCAAGCACCCAAAGCACCATTGTCATGAAAGTGAATGACCAAAATGCATAAAAAGTTTTATATTATTACTAATATACTATAATATAATACACTAATTTATATTTAGTTGGAAACGGTGTCGTGTAAATTCCCTTCAGTACAATTGCTGGCCGATTGTTCATACAGCTCATATAATTCATATTGCTCATTTTGCTCATAACAAATAAAAACATTGAAGTATGTTGCTAAAACAATATTGTCTTGTTTTGCATGTAATTAATACCAGTACCTGGGGAATTTTTGTTCAGCTTCATAGGGTAGCGGTGGGGAGGGCTACTGAGCTGCTGAAGCTGCATTCAGATCATCTGGTGCTGCAGGCCCTGAAGGCCTCCGGTGGGGATGGAAACCTGGAGGCCGTGGCTGATTATGCCGGCACACTGACTGAACACAAAGAGCAACTGGTGGAGGTGAGCGGCTCAATTTAATATTATTTGTTCTGACAAAGATCAGATAACAAAGCAGTTTATCTTCAAAAATATTCTGAAGACACCAATGTAACAGCAGGGCCAATTTACACCATTGTTGAATAATGACAAAATAATACAAAATTAAATTATGAAATTTCACTCAGTATTCAATAAACTCAATATTATTATGGGTATTATTACACTTATTATATTCCATAATATGTGCATTCAATACTTATTGTCAGATTGATGCATAGCAGTGCGTTTAACAATACCTATATCGTATAATCTTCTAAAGTGTTTGAATTGTACTATAGGGTTAACTTCAGTGTGGTGCTGTTTATTCTGATTTCAGACTTGTCGTTTGCTCTGCCACATTTCGGGGACCGAGCCTCTAGAGATCACCTGCATTCATGCTGAGGAAACTTTCCGTGTCATTGGTCCACAGGTAAAGAGAGAGAGGTTGTCTGCTATTAGAGCAGGAATCTGGCGTCTTAGCTGAGACCTTCTTTGTCAAGGCTTTCAGAGACTTACACAATATAGATTTTGTTAATAAAAGAACTGAAGATTGTTATTCGCCTCAGTTAGTGCTTATTTTTCAAAAATCACCAATGCTTATTTGACACATTTTTGCACTGTTGTTGTTGACTTTGCTGTTTTTTTCTTCCGTAATCAGAGCTGCAGAGGCAAACACACACACACATAGGCATAAAATAGCAAGAAATTGCAATTAAATGCATTTTTTAGCTGGATGATAAAACCAAATCATGCATCGAAATCATCTTTGTGGTTCCAGTCTTGCTTGTTTTCTTTTTCAATACAAACAGTAGTTAACATATAAAATGAAAAAGAAAAGGTAAGATTGGGGCTATACGCAGAATGTAATATTTAACCGAGTATATTTGCAGTGTGTTTCATCAGCATGATTCATTAGCATATCTGATTGCATGCAGGAATGAGTGTTCTTAGAAAGGGCAACCTCACCTCACCAGCCAATAATGATGAGGCCTAAAGATCAGGCAGCCAATAAGAGCACAGCAGGTGAGCGGCAGCTTCAGGGGTGCATGATAATGAGTTGCTTTATCAGTAATTCCAAAAGCCACAGGTAATTACCAGCTGAATCCACACCCTCAGTGGAGACGAGCTCTGTTTCGCTGTGTTTGTTTTTTGAAACATCCTCCCAGTAAGCTGTAAATCATAATTATGCAGATGCCGACAGTTAGATGGTGCATTTATGCTGTGGGACACTGAAAGAAACCAAGGATGAATATTGATATTCAGATGTTGCACAAGAGTCGAATTATGCAGTTGCATCAAAAATTACACAACACTGAGGTTTTTGAAGGAAGTCTCTTATGCTCACCAAGGCTCCATTAATTTGATCAAAAGTACAGTAAAACAGTAATATTGTGATTTATAATTACAATTTAAACTAACTGTTTTCTATTTTAATATATTTTAAAATGTAATTTATTCCTGTGAGGGCAATATGAAATTTTTAATTTTATTATATATATATATATTAGAGTTTGATTTTTTATGTTTTTGAAAGAAGTCTTTTATGCTCATCATGGCTACATTACAATAATATAATAAAAAAGTTATAAATAATTAAGTAATAAAATAACAGTTTTCTATTTGAATATATATAATTTGTTTGTTTCTATTCGAATACAATGCAATTTATTCCTGTGATGGCAAAGATGTGATAATATTTTTTTTTCAGGATTCTTCTTCAGGATTTTTCTTCTGATTAATATATTATAACAGCATTTATTTGAAAAATAAATATTTATTAAGATTATAATGTATTGTTACATGTATTAATGTACTGTTATATTTGATAATCCATTAATACATTTTTGATAATACATTTGATTATCCATCCTTGCAAAATAAAAGTATTGATACATTTTTTTTTTTTAAATCACACTGACCCTAAACCTTGGAACTGTCTTATATTTAAAACTGAGTTAAAAATTAATAACAGTTTTATAAAAGCGTTTCCTCTCAATTTCTTCTCTCAGATCATCTCAGCAGCACAGACCCTTGCTCTGCACCCCACCAGCAAGATTGCCAAAGAAAACCTGGATGTGTTTTGCGAGGCCTGGGAGTCCCAGCTGTGTGACATGGCCATCCTAGTGAAGGAGATCAACGATGTGTTTGAGGGCCGCAGAGGTGCGTTAATCAAGACGCTCAGTCATGACATCAGTTTGTAGGCCGACTTTTAGGACTACAAACTCAAACAGCTTCTTTTTCCAGCCCAAGATATGAAAGACGTTTATGTATTTTATGATATCTGCATTTACCTTGCTTTGAATGCATCCGTAGCATTTATTTTCAGGTGCACAAAATGCATTTGTTCATGCCTATAGGCAGGCCAGCGATAACCGTTTTTAAAGGTCTTTTTCCTTGTGGCCAGATTGCAATCTTTTCTAGCTGCTAAAGATGTGCGGCTTTGACATTTACACTGCATCCACATCCCTCACATGAGGTAATTGAATAGAGGCTAGATAAATCTCTGTAGGCAAGGTTAAGGGTGCATTGCTGCGGCCCCAGTGAGATTACAGGTCTGCGAGAGTCCTTTCACTCATCTGTATTTGGACATAGCACTCAAGGATGTGTTTGAGCGATGGCGGCTCTTCCGGCTAAAACTGTGGTTTTCTCACGCAGTTCATAAAGATCTTTATGTGGCAACGATATTTGTCAGAGTCTGAAGAAAGGCATCAGTAACATGACAGAAACCCGGTGGCTGCTTTGAATGCATCCGTAGCATTTATTTTCAGGTGCACAAAATGCATTTGTTCATGCCTATAGGCAGGCCAGCGATAACCGTTTTTAAAGGTCTTTTTCCTTGTGGCCAGATTGCAATCTTTTCTAGCTGCTAAAGATGTGCGGCTTTGACATTTACACTGCATCCACATCCCTCACATGAGGTAATTGAATAGAGGCTAGATAAATCTCTGTAGGCAAGGTTAAGGGTGCATTGGTGCATTAAAAAGTGAGATTACAGGTCTGCGAGAGTCCTTTCACTCATCTGTATTTGGACATAGCACTCAAGGATGTGTTTGAGCGATGGCGGCTCTTCCGGCTAAAACTGTGGTTTTCTCACGCAGTTCATAAAGATCTTTATGTGGCAACGATATTTGTCAGAGTCTGAAGAAAGGCATCAGTAACATGACAGAAACCCGGTGGCTGGGGGAGATGTTTTTGTTCCAGATGAGAGGCTCCCAGTCATCATCATTGCCAACCGAGATATTTCCCAAAACAAACTGTCATCCCCCAAGATCCTGCCTTTGTTTCTGTTCATCCACATCATTATCCACAGCCATTTTCAGGCTAGACATGTATTTGAGCCAAGTTTTATATTTTATATAGGGTCCTGTATGTAAATGATAATTATGTAGATATTTTTGGTCGTAATACTTAAAATGTCTTCATTTTAGGTGATAAGAAAACATATCTCTCTCTACCGAGACCAGGGGTGAGCCTTAAAAGCAATTTTTTAAAAATGTTATTACAAATTTCTCTTATCATATCATATCTTATCAAATTTACTGATTCATCTCTTTTCTAGAAGCATTCTGCCAACCTGAAGACAGTCAAGGCTGCCAAACTTGACGCTGAGGTACAATTTCTCCTAATAAAATGTTATGTACGAACAAGTTGGAGTAATAACATTTTTCATCTGTCAGTTTGACAGACTGGGTTGAATATTTTTCGTCATGTTCTATTCTTTACCTTATTTGTAATTTCTGTCCTGAAACTTATATAGATGTTTGCCATTACATTTCCATATGTAGATTACAATATTTGCATTTTCAGTCCACGACCCCCAAAATCTAATTATTTTTGAGATAAAGTCTGTAATGACCTGGACTTGACAAAACATGAGCTACAATTTAAGTTTATTAGGATTTAAAGAACTAACATGGACAACTGATCAGCCTAAGTGTGATGAAACTGGTTGATTTTGTTTGATTTATTAATTAAAAATCATTTGAAAGTCTAAACCTCAAACGATTGCATATATAACACTTTTAGAGCATGTTTAGTCTTACCAGATGATGTACAGTGTTATTTTCATATTATTTATATATACTATTATAGTATTTGTTAATATTTTAAATTTGCTTTTGTATTTATATTTTCAGTTTTCATTGTAATTGAAGTATTAGTATGTTTGTTATGTGCCTTTGTCATTTTTATTAGTTTTTACTTTTTTAAATATTTCTATTTACAGTAGCTTAATTTATTTGACAAATTTTAATACCATTATGTAATATGTCAGTATTCATTTCGCCTAAATGTATCCTTGTGGCCATGATCTGAAGAGTCTTCTAATGTTCATTTATATAGGAGCAAACCACCATCGCTAAGCTGGGGCTGGAACTGTGTCTCCTCACCTCGGATGTGGACTCAGAGGTGGAGCGCTGGGACGAGCAGGACCACGAGATGGTTCGACTGTGTCAGATCATATCCAGCATGGCATATTCCATGTACCTCTTCACCAGGTAACTCCCTGGAAACCTTTTCATAAAATTCATAGGCCATTTATCAGATTGGTTCCAGTAGTGTTTTATTACACAGGAAATTAAGGACAGCATGCTGGAAAGTTTAAGCTTTATGAAAAATGTCTGTTCAGAAAAACTAAACCATGTTGTTGTTTATCTGCACTTTCTGTCAACCTACACAATCGGTTTTATGGATCTCCTGAGGATGTTTCATTAACTCTCTGCTGTTTTGCCATCTGTGATTAAGGGGGGAAGGCCTACTGAAGACAACTTTGGATCTATTCCACCAAGCTGAGGTACCAGCGTTCATTCTCTCTCATAGGTTTTTTAATTGAATCTGTTCGAGATGCCATTAAGAGCAATGAATCCCCTGGAAAAGATGGATCAATATATTATTAAAAGGGCCAGCTGTCATTTGTGAGATACTGTGATCCAGAGCAGGATGTGTGCTGTGAATGGGCAGGAAATGCTGATTAGACAGTGTGTCGTTCTATTAGTAGGGCACACTGGCCTCCACCCAAACACAACCTCTTATCTGACAGAGCAAGCTTACCTGCTCAACGTCACAGCAGAACAGCACAGCAAAGTTCCTTTAATACATCTGTGTACCTCTTTTTATGGCCTTTTTTGACAAACAGTTCATGTAAAACTCACAATTACAACTTGGAAACTCATAATTTTAAGTAACATAAAGTCTCCAATTTATATCACTTGATCGTTGTGATTTCATGTAAAAAAACAAAAACAAAAGCCATTGACCATGTTACTTCAGACATTACAAATTTCTGTTTTGCCATTTTTTATGCCAATGTTACCTGATTTGATTTGTTCTTCAAGACTGTGCAAGAGCATAGAGAGGTGATTTAAAATAACGATTAAGTATTTTGCCATGGTATTTTTTTTTTTACATGGATCAATTATGAAATTATGAGCATTGCCATAGTAACAAACAATTTCTGGGGATCTTAACTGCTCAGAAAAAAAATCTCCTGGTAATTACGATAATTTTGACATGACAGCATGACACTAATCATTTCATTTGACTACTGAATGCCACCTTTGACGTCAGTCCTCAATATCATTGAAAATAAGAAATTGAAATAAGGCAGGCAAATTCTCTTAAAGGGGTCATATCATGCTTTTTTTAAGATCATTATTTTGTGTATTTGGTGTAACAGAATATGTTGACATGCTTTAATGTTCAAAAAACCCATTATTTTTCAAATACTGTACATTATTGTAGGTCCTCTATGCCCCGCCTCCCGCAAATGCTTCGTTTTCTACAAAGTCCCTCCTTCCGACAAGCGCAGTCTGCTCTGATTGGCCAGCTGACCCAGTGCATTGTGATTGGCCGAACCCCGCAAGCACTCGTCGGAAATGTAACCCCCCTTACCATAATCGCGAGCTTCATCTTTCAAAATAAATGTAAAGACAGTAAATAATGTCATTAGTTTTACCATCAGTTCAAGCCTGAAGCTGGTATGTGTTTGCAGTACACAAGCCACGGTTAAGACAGCTGACTCCACTTTGAAGTGACGCTCTCTCTCTCTCTCTCTCTCACACACGTGTGCGCGCACACACACACACACACATACACACACACAATGCGCAAGACTCCGCATTTGAACAGTCAATAGCAAATACTTAAACTAATAACAAAACAGTAGCTGATTCAGAAGCGCCAGATTGTCATAGCAAATTCAGAATTACATCCTCTCCTAGGATCACGAAACGGTCGTCCATAAAATGCATTGCTGTTCTGTTGTAAGTGATCTTAAAGATTCCTAAATGCATCTACTTTCGGAAGGACAAATAAAGTGCTTTTGCTTTCGCACTGAAACACACAGCGTCTCCCTGACATGACTGCTTCAGCACTAACTGCGGTTACTGAAACCAATCCTTCTTTCTTTACGTGCAGATTTGGACGGCATTATGCAAATATTTCCACATAGTGAGGTAGATATGTGGGGGCGTGTTAGAACGAGCCGTTTTAGGGGGGCGTGGCAGATTCTTAACTTTGATAAAGAATATCTCTTTGGTTTTGAGACTTTAGTCTTTGCAACTTCAAGGATCTTATCTATGCACAATCAGCTTGTAACACTCCAAAGAGAAAGGAAAACTTGAAATCGCATCATATGACCCTTTTAACATTTTTAAATCTCGCCTTAAAACTAATTTCTTTAGGGTAGCTTTTATGTGAATTTTTATATTAATTTTATATTATTTAAATTTTTAAGTGTTTTGAATGCATGTTATTTTCATAATTTTTTATATGGTGTATTTTGATGTTTTATTTGTCATGTAAAGCGCTTTGAGAAGTAACATTTAAAGGCGGCGCACTATAGAAAATAAAGATTATTATTATTATTATCAGTGAGATGTTAAAGGCGCACTGAGTAATTTTTGTGAGTAGATGTCAGATAGATAGGACTTGGTATTGGACACTTGAAATAAATGGCGGGAGATGTTGCAAATATTGTAATAATCGTTCTAATTCTATGAGAATAGGAGTTATATAATGATATAACACAGAGTAATACGTTTTATAATGATAATAACACAGAAACACAATATCATTGGAATCAATTTTTTTTCAGCTGATGAATGATAAAAACATTGACAGCCAATCAGAATTAATTTGACTTTAAATAGCTTGAGCATTTAAAGTAACAGATGACAAAACTGTTGCATGTGCTAATAATAAACTGAACATTATCATTCTTGGTGTGAATGGGACTTTATGTGGAAATAACTTAGGGTGACCATACATCCACTTTTTCCTGAACATGTCCTGGCTGGGATTTTTTAATTGTCTAAAATGTCTGGGTTTTGGCTTTGTTTTCCAATTGACATGCTCTATAGGCTTCACATATTATGTGTACGTTTATTTGCATTGCTCTGACCATTCTCTGTAGATCCCACCTTCTCACACGCCCTGAAGGACTGCACGCTATTGGTCAAACTACTTCAGCCATTACCTTCAGCAGTCTTGAAAACAATAGGGAAACAAAGCCAAAACTCATCCATTTTAGGCAATTTACTTTAATGCACAAAAATCTTGATGCACCTTAAACTAATTTGTGTGATTTTAATCACTGTATTTCATAACCCTGCTAAATTAAAATTGTGTAACATTTACTCTGGTACAGAGTAAGGCCTTACATTATGGAATGTGTTCTAGGTGTTGTCAGACCAAGGTCTCCAGCTGTGCCACATCCTCCACTCTCTCTCCACACAGGTAACGCACCCACATGCCCACCAGGCCCTTATGTTCCACAGTTTAATTAGACGCCTGTAAATAAAGGACTGTAATGACTGCCATCCATCTTATTGGGACCACAGAGACGTGGATCAGTGTTACTTAACCCTTCTCCGGCTGGGGCGGACAGGGGCCACTCATCCATAATCACAGAGCCTGACACTTGTGGTACACTGCACAGTTTGATTAATAATCTCAAACATGCCTGACCCACAATGCATTTCCCCAGCTGTAAGCAGAGTACAGCTAAATCAAATTGCTTGCGTCCATTTATTTATCCATCAGTTCAAATTCAGCAATTACCTCACTTTGGCAAACCTGTAATGTAGTTTTGCGTGAAAGTCTCTATTAGGGCTATTAGATTGTTAAATTTGTCCTTGCCACAGGAAGTCCTGAAAGGATTGTAGAAAGGAAAGCAATGCTATGTGCATAAAAAACAAAATGCCACAATATAATAGTATGTATGTGTATATATATATATATATATATATATTCTGTAATTTATGATTTTTTTTTTTTAAATATAGAGTTTATTCTCACAGTAATTTCAGGTTAAAAATAACTTTTTCCTATTTTGTAATTTGTAATTTATTACAATAATTTAATTGTAATTATTTGTAATTTATTCCTGTGATGGCAAATCAGAATTTTCGGCATCATTAATTCAGTCTTCATTGTCAAGATGAAAGCATATGCTGATTTAGTGCTCAAGAAACTTATTATTATTATTATATTATATTATATTATATTATTATTATCAATGTTGAAAACAGCTTTTGCTGCTTAAGAAACATTTGATATATAGGTATATAATGAAAAACTAACTTTTGAAGCAAAATAAAGTCACTTCCACAAGTGTAGTCTATCAGCTTGTTTTCCTTGAATTAAAAAAATTGTCAAGTGTCCTATTCAGCCTATGTCATGTTTATACTTTTCCATTTTTAAAGAACATAATAAAAAAAATGATGTCTAATGTAGAAAACGAGTCTTCAAGCAAAAGAGCTGCTGTGTTAGTTTGTTTAGAGTTCTCATCTCTCAAGTGTTCTGCTTTAAATGCTAAGGCCACATGTTGTGTCTGTTATAGCTGCTGGATGAAGACAGAATCCTTATTCTATCTGAGACGGAGAAGCTGTCAGACGTATGTCAACAGCTGCAGGTCTGTGCCAAGACTCCGGTTCAGGGCAAGAGTGCCATCTTTCAGAAGGTAATGCAGTATAACAGCTACAGACTCTTCTTGTACATCAGTAAATGGAGCAGATAAGATATGAGTAGGGTTTTTGTTTTGTAATGCACTTCATCTGAGGATCTGAGGATTCAAATGATACAGATTCATCTGAATTTAGACATTTAAAGAGAACAATATAAACTAAAGTTTAAAGTCACAGGTTACTGCCACATGTGATTAGATAATAGATCTGTTGCTCCTGCAAAGACTCTGACCTCACTCTATTTCCTGACTCCATTTAACCTGATAAAATGGCATGCTGTCCAGGGTCATCCTTCTGTTTTGATAAAGCAAAGGTCACAGCCAGAGGCAGGTTTAAATAGGTTTATAGAGGCAATGTTTGTGTCATGCTGTGGAACCAAGAAAACAAGCTTAATCAGGATCTCCCAGCTTGTCTTCTGGAGCCCTCGCATATTATTTCACAACAACCCAGTATATAATGTATAGATTGTTGTCGATGCAAAATGATAGCTTGACTGAAATGTGAGCCCAGACAAGCAGCCACAAGGTGTACTTGTTAACAAAACGGTATTTTGGGTACTTTGGTCAGCTAATGATCCATCTGTTTTTCTTGTCTCGTTCAGGTTGACTCATCCATACAGAATACAAAAGGCATCTTGACAGTGGTGGTCTATTTACTGCCCATCTGTAATAAGCTCATCAGAAAGGTAGGTAGCAACATGACGATCTAGATTAACTTTTTTATTTGATCCATATCGGTTGATGTTATATATTTAATTGTGTTTGCTCATTAGTTGTATTTTTATATTTAGATTACATTCAAGCCGTCATCTAACACTTACTTAATCTTTAAAAACTATATAATGATTTGATAACATTTTTAAATGTCAGTGTTAGCAAATCTCAAAAGGAATATCCATTTTTCATACTGTACATTATAATGAGACAATAATTATCAGCTTGCCATTGAGACAATAATCATCAGCTTATCAGTATCAGCCGGAATTTTATTATCAGTTGTGGCTGGTTAGGACAAAATCTCAGATTTACATGTAAAGGATCGCATTGTGATAAGGACCAGGGTTACTATAGTTAACTTTGTTAAACTAAAGTTAAAGTTAAACTAAAGCCATAAAAAAACTTTAGATGCTGAAAATAAAATATAAAAAACTTAAACATGTTTTATTTCAGCTTATATTTCAGTTGTCACATTTCTCATTTTCATTTATTTTAACTGGATATACTAAAATAACTCAACTTAAAACTGAAATAAAATTAACAATGTATATATATATAAAAAAAATACATAAACACAACAAAATTCCTAAAATTTTAACCAAAATTAAAATGAAACCAGAAAATATATAAACAAAAACTAATTTAAATATTTTAATAATTTAAAAAAAAAATGAAGTAAAATAAAAATAATAGTATCTCCATGTTAAAATAACACTGGTTAGGACACAGTGTTATGATATTATGTCATTGTTACGGATGCACTGTTATTAAAATTCTAGCTGATTAAATTGTGTTACAATATTGAATGTTAATAATCAATTTAAAAAGCGCTAAATAAATGTTTATTTTTAACTGATATATTGTGTATCCTAACTTATTATTTAATCAATGTTCTGGTGTGATTTATGTTCTGTTCCATCAATTAAAAAATGTGCATGATCAAACTTTAGAGCATGTTTATATTAAACTCTATCTTCTACCTTTAATTCCAGTGTAAATCAGAACGCAGCTGTGTGGCTTCACCTCAGCACTGGAGGGAGAAGCAGCTGAACACGACCGTCAGCGAGGAAACTCTGAATGGCAAAGGCTCCAACGGCTTTGGGGTCAAATCCCTTGAGCAGCACATGGCCAATCTAACATTCCTAGAGAGCAAATAGCGCTTCTGCCTGCTCTCACACACGCAGTGCAATGCACTCGCTCACAACGTGCCATTCTTTGTGCTTCTGCCCATTTGCTTTGTGGTGTACAATAGCGTTAGCATTACCAGCCGCATTCCAGACAGCAAAAAATATTGAAGAAAAAACCCTTGATTGATTGCATGTGTTTGATCTTTATGTGACTCTTTCAAGTGTAATGGCTGGTAAATAAGCTACGGTTTTAACCGAAACAATATTCAGCTGCGTTTCTCGTGATTAGCCAACATTGAGGTGTACATGATAAAAGTTTTGATGCAAAAAAAAAACAACTGTAACACTGTATTTAACAAAACTGCCTCATGTACAATGCCAAATATATCCAGTTTTAATCATCTTTCTACACTGGTGGCAGTCTGCTCAATGCTGAAGGAAATTCAGTGACTTTGGATATTAGTATGAGAAATCAGCATCTTGATTCTGTTTGAGAGTTTACAGCAGGGAATGTTACTTTCCAAAGAGGCATTTCTGATGGATGATAATGAAAAAGACAGTTGCTTTTAAAGGGATAGCTCACCCAAAAATAAAAAATTCTGTTATCGTTTGCTTACCCTCATGTCATTCCAAGCCAGTATGACTTCTGTGAAACACAAAAATAAGTGATTTTGAAGTCTCAAAAAACTCCTTTGTTGTTGTAGACACAGACTTTCATTGTATCGACAACATAGTTGAAACATTTCAAAACAGCATCTTTTATGTTCCATAGAAGATCATACAGTTTTGGAATGACATGAGGGCAAGTAATTAATGACAGGATTTTCATTTTCGGGCAAACTGTCTCTTTAAATGTACTTTCGTAGGAGTGACAGCCTTGTAATATTATTGACTGCCTTGTAGGTCACTGTGATTTGTATTTTTACTTCAGTCCTAACAATGTAAGTCAAGCTTTGGTACATTAACCTAAAAGGTTAGAGTAAAACGGTATATAAATCAATAGTTTAAGCTGTCGTGTACTGAAGAGCAACTTTTTAGTATGGCACAGATTAAAAGGCTCTTCAGTATTGGGTTTCCATTCACACACCAATTCTAGTTGATACTTTGCTAAAATGTTCCTCTGATTTATACTACAGTCAGTCAAACCATAAGCTTTAGAGATGATTGTGCAGCTATGACCTAAAGTTGTATTAGTGTTGGACCATTGAATGATTGTGAAATCAGATCAAATGAAATCTAAATATACATTATTTTTCTTAAAATAATTATGTCCGAGTGATTTATTTATGCACAAAACATGACATGCTTATTCAATTTTACACATTTCTCCAAACTAACAAAGTATTGTCTTCAATCAACACATTTATTAAAAGCACATACTAACATCAAAACTATTTAAATGTTTTCTGTTGGTTATATGTCCAGCTATATTGAAAATACATGTTTACATACACCACTGTGTATGCAAGTTTTGGGTCAGTAAGTTTTTATTTTTATTTTTTTTAAACGTTATGTATATGAAAATGTTTGTCATGTTATCTGTGCAATCTGTTTGGAAAAATGACAAAATGTTCAGATGGCAGTTAATTGTTTTGAGAGCACTGACCTTAGTTTGTGTAAAATAAATTGACTGAATAAAAACATAACTAACATAAGAGCCAGTTGAAAATGCTCAGAAGGGAGCTGTTCCTTTATTGAGCATTTACTCAAACTATAATGATCTCCAAAAAGTTAGGGCTATAAGCAGTTTTACAGCAACCGGAAGGGAATTAATGTGTCTGCGAGGACACAGACCAGCTAATTCTCAAATTAAAACAGTTTTAATGAAACAATAAACTAAACAATACCCATGACACTGGCATTATGTATCTCATGAATAGTGGTCAAACAAAATGCACTCCAGTGAAATCCAAGACTGTTCTGGATCCAGCAGACAATTCTTCATTCCTTCAAGTCGTCATTTTCTCAAGATGTTTTTTTTTTAATGTAAGTGGCACACAGCCATGATGCCACTGACGTTTTCACCTGCTTGAAGCAATTATTCTTCAAAAGAGACTCGGCAGTCAGTCGGTCAGCAGCTTCAAAGTGCAGGTTGATCTCAGCAAGGCTCTTCTTGTTGGTTTCTTTTCGTGAGAACCTCCTCATATTGTTCTCTGGTCAGAAGGCCTTCAGTGACACTCTTACTCTCTTCAAATTTAGGTAATATAACTGCAATGTATCCCTCTGTGGAAGGCTGTGCCAAAAAAAAGAACGCACAATTCACACGTGTGGTCTTAAATTTGGAAAAGGTTAAAAGGAGATTTTAAATTTTATTTTTTAAAAGTGACACTCTTACTCTCTTCAAATTTAGGTAATATAACTGCAATGTATCCCTCTGTGGAAGGCTGTGCCAAAAAAAAAGAACACACAATTCACACGTGTGGTCTTAAATTTGGAAAAGGTTAAAAGGAGATTTTCAATTTTATTTTTTAAGCTGTACTGCAAGTCACCTTTTCTAATAACAGATCTGGCTTGTTCAGAATGGCTTCATTTACTTCGAGGAGACGTCCTCTGATACAGCTGGGGAAATATGGGTTGAATTGACATCATTTTAAGATTATAGAAACTGAACGTTATGTATATCCAGCGGCAGTCTGTGTAACTGACCTGAATATAGTGTACTCCTGTTCATCTGTGCACGTTATTCTACACAGTGGCGCAAACTCTGTCAGGAACTGACCACCCTACAGAATAAATTATCCTTACTGATGATGCTCAGGGAAAGTGTGAATCAAGATATACAAGTAATTAATCACAATCATTAGTGTATTGATTGATGCACTGACAGTGTGAAAATCATTCAAGGCAAAAGTACTCACTCGCTTTGACTTTCCAGACACCTTGTTCTTCAGACGGCTGCATCCATCACTGATCTGGTAGTTTATGTTTTTGATTTTTCGTCCGTTCTGAAGGATAGGATGAGACTCCGCAAGTGTGATGACGCATATCCTTATAAGAAGAAAGCAGAGTTTAGAGATGAGTATAGAGGGGCGTTTCTCCAACTATTAACACTTCTGACCCTGTGGACTTTCAGAAAATAAAGAACAGTGGAAATACGGACATCATGAACATTTGCAACATGGTGTCATTTCAATCTATCATAATCTCAGATTATGTATTCAGCTGACTGTACAATTGTGTAGCAGCTGTAAAAATGTATAAAGACCATTAAATATATAAAATAAATACACATGACTGGTTTAGATAATAGTGGTTTCAAATGTGTAGTAGTGTCTTTATAGTTTTTAAGATTGAAATCTGGATCTGGGATTTATGTACTGATTAAAATCTAGACATAAAATGCATTTGAAGTGTAGAAAAAAAATACAAAAGTTTCTAATATAGTGATATTCATGTAAAAAGAAAAACGCTGTTGTCTGCTAATTTAAATAAGTTGACTTGCAAAAGTGTACGTAGTTAAAAAATCTTAAAAACACTTAAAAAATGACAGTAATACGAATATATAGATGGAGAATATAATATATCTATCTACCTGTTGGAGTGCTGTAGAATGCAGTGATCCTCACATGATTTCCCCTTTAGATCTACATCAGCATTTACACCAAACCAATCAATCTCATTAATCAATCAGTCAATTAATCTTAAAAATGTATATATATATAAAAAAAAACGCTAATCTGAATATGCATTGAGTTAAAGTAAGAACAAATAATACTGATCAGAACATATTACCAGTTCTATACCAGCGGGTGAAATAACGATCGATCACTGATGGGGCTTTCTTTTCACTGTCTTCCATGTCAACATCCACCGCTTAAAACAGCGATTGTGTCAAAAAGAAGAAAAACTTTAGAGAGGCTGATACAGTCTGGTCATATAAAAACAGTGATGTTTGAAGCCGGACGACAAATTAAGTTACACACAAAAAAGGTCCGCTCTGCATTTGCATCCGGTTACTCTATGTTGTGGTATCTGCCGGTGTTAATTTACTTTATCTGATAATAAATGCAAACCAGTTGTTATTCAATCCACTACAGCTATATTTTTAGAGAAACGTATTTTTAAATAACTCTTTCAGGAACTACTATCGTGGCATATTCTCCCGGTTCTTTTTAATTGTAACACACAGCAGCGTCGAAAATGGCAGCGCCCAGAATAGACACATGTAATGTCTCTTGTTGTGCTAATCGCACTTCTAATGTTGTGTCATGGGGCAGAGGTATGGCAAGCCCTTTTGACTTTTATTCATTCTCAGGATATGAATTCTTGATATCAACAATTCAATTTTTACTAGTTAAAATGTTAATTCTTGAAATCAGGAATTAGATTTCTACTAGTAACAATTGCTATTTTTGATATCAGCAACTACATTTCCACTAGTAACAATGTTAATTCTTGATATCAACAATTACTTTTCAACTAGTAAAAACTATAATTCTTGATATCTGTAATTGTATTTTCACTAGTTAAATGTCACCATAGGCTGCCATTCAAAATCAATTGTTGATATCAAGAACTGATTTCTTACTAGTTGAAATTCCAATTTCACATATCAGAAATACAATTCTTACTAGTAAAAACCTTTATTTTTGATATCAGTAATCACATGGTTACTAGTACGGATGTTTCTTCTTGATATCAACAATTTGATTGTCACTAGTGACAATTAAATTGTTGATATCAAGAATAGACTTCTGTACTAGTAACCACGTGATTACTGATATCAAAAATAAAGGTTTTTACTAGTAAGAATTGTATTTCTGATATGTGAAATTGGAATTTCAACTAGTAAGAAATCAGTTCTTGATATCAACAATTGATTTTGAATGGCAGCCTATGGTGACATTTAACTAGTGAAAATACAATTACAGATATCAAGAATTATAGTTTTTACTAGTTGAAAAGTAATTGTTGATATCAAGAATTAACATTGTTACTAGTGGAAATGTAGTTGCTGATATCAAAAATAGCAATTGTTACTAGTAGAAATCTAATTCTTGATATCAAGAATTAACGTTTTAACTAGTAAAAATTGAATTGTTGATATCAAGAATTCATATCCTGAGAATGAATAAAAGTCAAAACGGCTTGCCATACAGAGGAGGTCTTATCGCATTCGGGACATGTAATTCAGTTGCCCTTTATAATCCACAGGTACTGACTGTATGATTGTTCACTTGATTTAGCTGAGGTGATGCTGATGCTCCGTGGCAGGTTATTATACTTACATATGCACTTACAAGTTCCGATTCTTTAATGCAGTGATGTGCAGACTGTGAACTCGAACCTGTGTTTAGAGTATACATTCTTCTGATCGAGTAGTTTCATAGTAAATGTCTTTAGTGTTTGATAAACTGTCAAATAAGATCTGTGACAACTGACTGAAAGTGTGACAGGTGTGTCTTATCTAGATTTTGTTTATTAATTGTTATCAGGAAATAAGGATTGTTGAGGTGCTGAATAAACACACTGGAAGAGTGAATGCTGTCCAGTGGGTTCATAAACAAGACTGCAGTAAGTCTTTTACTTTGACCATCATTAAGAAATGTCAAATAGGCTGTTGACAGATATTTCAATTTCAGAGGTTTGAACAAGTGTGAAGTCTTTTATCTTCATGCATAGACATTATTCAATTGTCTGTCACTGTCAGACAAAATACAAACAAAGATTTCTGCAGGTCCGGAAACCCAGCTGGTATCTGGTGGGTCAGATAATCATGTTATTGTCTGGGAGAAGCAGGATGGGAAGGTATGTGTGTACAATAACAAGAGTAAATATGAACACTTATGCTGACAACATAATTGGGTCGTTTCTGTTATGCAATACATTGGATAAAATATTAAGTAATAAATCAACAGCTTTTAAAGATTTGTTTTTAACATAAACTTGAAGGTGAATTTCAAGCTGCCTTAAAAAAAACAAAAAACTGGTCTTTATATAACTTTCCACCGGATTTCAATATCCCTTTCCATCTTTTGGAATATCTTTTGAATAGCAACCAGTTGCGACAAATCCATTATGTTAAGCTAGCCCTTGGTGATAACACTCTTATAATTCTAACGTGATGTAACTAGTTGTCACAATTATAAATATTTGTAACTAATTGATTTCTTAACTTAATAGCTTTGTTGCAATTTGCCCATATCCTCAATGGCATAATCCTCATTATATCTGGTGGGAAAACAACAGCACAAGCGGTTTTAGCAATGGATTTGGAATGGAATGGTCACACTGTTTGTCAAATCATCCTGTTTGATAAAATGAATTCTGCAGCATGATTAAAACCGTAGAACAGGAATGACCCAGCTTGGTCAGTTATGGACTTCAAATCTGTGATCTGTAAATCTGTCTAAATGGATATTCACAAAAGTAAAAAAAAAAAAATGAGTTGAGTTTGTCCATCTTCTGCTGCAGTTCACAGCATGTGCAGTGTGTTCGGGACACTCAGGGCCCGTGTGTGCAGTGGATGCCATGTCTCTGTCCTCCTCTCAATTACTGGTGGCCTCAGCATCTTCTGACTCCTCTGTTAAACTCTGGACGTGCAGCTCTGATACAGGTAAGATAGGAAGTGAGATTTCTGTTCATCATAAGAGTCTAGATTTAAAATACTCAGTCAATGCAAGTTCTTTAAGTTTTTTTTTTAATGTTTGCTTTTGAATAAGGACTTTTTAAAATTCTCCAAGCCTGACATCTGCTGGTTGATTCTTGTAAATTAAGGAGCGTTTAAAATTCAAATTCAGTGCTTATAAGGTAGTTCAAAATCAGTTTATTTGTCATCACAGAGATACAGTAGAATTTTCCTTGGATGTCAGCAACCAAGATCAACAGAAAGCAAATAGTACAACAAATACAACAATTCTAAATGTGTATATATTTAATATGCACTACTGTACTCAAAGGTTTGGAAGTCAGTAAGATTTATTTTTATTCTGCAAGAATACATTAAGTTGACAGTAAAGACATTTTAAAGACTTTGTCTGTGGGTGAAAGACAAGACGTCCCATTTTGGTGTCTGCATCAAACATACAACATACTTGTTCTGACCTGTACTTAATAAAGTGTATAAAAGAATACATAATCATACTAAATTTTATTATAGTTTAAATGATTAAAAACTTCTTGCTGACAAATGGGTAAAACCTAATTGTTTGATGGATAGTGGTAAAGATTTGAATTGACAATAAATTAGTTTTTGCGGGCAGCACTGTGATCCTTAAACAGAGTCTTTTAATGTCATCTAATGATTCTTGTTCTAAATACACCTGACAAGATTTTTTAGTATATGAACTATTGTTACACTGAATGTTTTTTTTCTGTATGTCATAGTAAAATGTATGACAGTTATAATTTTTTGCTCAGAAAAAGTCAAATTAAACGGGACAAAATTTAAAGCTGTATTAAGATTTGAAGGATTTTGTGTATTTGTGTATAGTTCTTTCTTGTTTAATCAACATCTGATATGTCACCTTGTGACTCTTTCCTGATGTAATCTGTAAAAGTGTAAACCAAATACACAGGATGGCCCTTCTATACTGTCTCTCCAGTAGGAGGTCCTAATGGTATCAGTCTATTGTTTGAAGGCCATTTGTTACCAGTATAAAGTTCTGTCTCACAGACAGAACTCTGGGAGAAGCTAGGACTCTTACAAGGGTTAAGATTCTTTGAAGAATTACTGACTTCAGAAATGTTTCTCCCCACAAGAACTCTGGTCAAGCTTACTTATTTTATGTATTAGAGAAATCATTAAACGGGACAAAATTTAAAGCTGTATTAAGATTTGAAGGATTTTGTGTATTTGTGTATAGTTCTTTCTTGTTTAATCAACATCTGATATGTCACCTTGTGACTCTTTCCTGATGTAATCTGTAAAAGTGTAAACCAAATACACAGGATGGCCCTTCTATCCTGTCTCTCCAGTAGGAGGTCCTAATAGTATCAGTCTATTGTTTGAAGGCCATTTGTTACCAGTATAAAGTTCTGTCTCACAGACAGAACTCTGGGAGAAGCTAGGACTCTTACAAGGGTTAAGATTCTTTGAAGAACTACTGCCTTCAGAAATGTTTCTCCCCACGAGAACTCTGGTCAAGCTTACTTATTTTATGTATTAGAGAAATCTAATACATTGGCTTGCCACCCAAACCTTTGCTCAGCCAACTACAGCTAAATCTAACAGCTTTTATTGTTTTGATGCTTGAAAACCCCTTTTCGTCTTTGACCCCTATATCTAATATATGTACCGTATACATGCCATGTGTTTATTGACTTTTTTTTATTTTTTTTATACAAGTCACCATCACTTGTAATAAGAAGAAGCTCATCATGATCAAAAATCGTCTTAACTCTAATTCTAATTCCATGTGTCTCCCTAAACTTATTTTATGTATTAGAGAAATCTAATACATTGGCTTGCCACCCAAACCTTTGCTCAGCCAACTACAGCTAAATCTAACAGCTTTTATTGTTTTGATGCTTGAAAACCCCTTTTCGTCTTTGACCCCTATATCTAATATATGTACCGTATAAATGCCATGTGTTTATTGACTTTTTTTTTTTTATACAAGTCACCATCACTTGTAATAAGAAGAAGCTCATCATGATCAAAAATCATCTTAACTCTAATTCTAATTCCATGTGTCTCCCTAAGGAACAATTAGAAAGCACAGGCATCATTTGATCATTCCTACTGCTTTATTTCTGATGTCCGTACTTACTGTTCAGAAAGAAAGTGATATTTCAGAGACATTTTAAAAAGTGTTGTGTGAAAAGCGATATACAGTAGGGTAAATGCAATATTTCTGCATGGTTTTGACAGACTTTCAAGTCACACGATGATGAGTTGCATCATTCATCTAACATTCAAATGACCGCTATCTAATGAGCTGTCTGCCAATACGCAGAAACCTGCTTCTTTTGAGTGCATTATTTTTAAAATTAGCTCAGGAGATGATTTCAGGTTGTCAGGGTGATTGTCTAATTTCAAAATATGCTTTTGGATTAAAGGGGTCATATGATGCGAGTTCAAGTTTTCCTTTCTCTTTGGAGTGTTACAAGCTCTTGGTGCATAAAGAAGATCTGTAAAGTTGCAAAGACTAAAGTCTCAAATCCAAATAGATATTCTTTATAAAAGTTAAGAGTCAACCACACCCTCCTAAAACGGCTCATTCTAACACGCCCCCACATGTCTACGTCACTATGTGGAAATATTAGCATAATGCCGCCCAAATGTGCACGCAAAGAAAGAAGGCGTGGTTTCAGGAACAGCAGTAGTGTTGATAAAGTCATGTCAGGGAGACGCTGTGTGTTTCAGTGCGAAAGCAAAAGCACTTTATTTGGCCTTCCGGAAGTAGATGCAATTAGGAATCATTATTTACAACAGAACAGCACAACCCAACCCAGATGTTCGAATTTGTGCAACGCATTTTATGAACAACAGTTTTTTGAACCTAGAAGAGTACAAGGCTGGCTGTGCACAAAGGCTATTTCTAAAAAAAGTTAGTTTAAGTATTTGCTATTGACTGTTCAAATGTGGAGTTTTGCGCAGCGCAGAGTAACGCGTCGTGTGTGTGTGTGTGTGTGTGAGGGGAACAGGGTCACAACACAGGAGAGTGAACTGCCTGTCAGAAATCATAGCACGTCAGTTGTCTTAACCGCGGCTTGTGTACTGCATCATCACTGTGTCACGCGACTCTGTTGCCCTTTCGGGCTTGAACTGATGGTAAAACTAACGACATTATTAACTTATATATAATAAGTCTTGATATTTACTTTGAAAGCTGACGGTCGCAATTATGGTAAGGGGCGTTACATTTCCGACGCGTGCTTGTGGTGTTCGGCCAATCACAATGCACTGGTTCAGCTGGCCAATCAGAGCAGACTGCGTTTGTCAAAGGAGGGGGCTTTGTTGAAAACTACATGTTTGAGAGAGGCGGGGCATAGAGGACCTACAATAATGTACAGTATTTGAAAAATAATGTGCTTTTTGAACATTAAAGCATGTCAGCATATTCTGTTACACAAAATACACAAAATATTGATCTTTAAAATAGCATCATATGACCCCTTTAATAATAGCCTAATTTAAAATAAGTTATTATTTTTTTTAATTAGAATTCATCATGAGTTGGACGGGTTCATTTTCATGTGAGGTGTTTCTGTTCTCTTCATTAGCTGAATGCCTCCAGACCGTATCTTTTGGGAGCGGGTTCATGATGGATGTCTCCTTGGCGCTGTTGCCAGGCAGCAGAGGTAAGCTGCGCCCGCTGCTCCATGTTGATTTGCTGTATTGTCCAGCCCTATCGTGTTAAAATCTCATTCTGTGCTTTAAATATGTCCTGGGGCGACATTAGCCTGCCTCTTACATTATTCACGTCTGGACTGTAGCTGTATTTCGCTTCTAGATGCCGTGAATAGACTTAGTGACTTGTCTGCCTGGTGTGTCCATGTGAATGAAGAGGATAATTACATCTCTTGTAGTTCCAGTACTCGCCTGTGGGGGAGATGACAGCAGAGTTCACCTGTATGTGCAGCTAAATGGACAGGTAAGATTGTCAGGTGTCTTTGCTTTATATTAATGCCGTTCACATTTTGTGTGTTGTGTGGGTGTGTGAATGTTACCTGTGGGTGTGTTTAGTTTCAGAGGCTTCTGACTCTGACAGGACATGAGGATTGGGTCCGATGTGTGGAGTGGGCCACTAAAGGTAGGACTTATATTAAATGAGTGAAGTGACGTGTGGCCAAGTATGGTGACCCATACTCAGAATTAGTGCTCTGCATTTACCCATCCAAAGTGCACACACACAGCAGTGAACACACACAAACAGTGAACACACACCCAGAGCAGTGGGCAGCCATTTATGCTGCGGCGCCCGGGGAGCAGTTGGGGTTCGGGGCCTTGCTCAAGGGCACCTCAGTCGTGGTATTGCAGGTGGGAGAGAGTATAATATTAGTATTATATTTTAGTATTTATACGGATAATCAAAGGTTTGGTGTCAGTTTTTTTTTTTTAATTAATACTTTAATTGCGTTTAATTAATTGAAAATGTCAGTAGCAAAATTTATATTGTTACATACATTTCTATTTTAAATAAATGCTGTTATTTTGAACTCTTAATTGAAGAATCCTGAAAAAATGGAACATGGTTTCCACAAAAATATTTTCCTAAAGATTAGTTAAATAAATTGACTATTTAGTTGCTTCTTTCTTACTAAAAGATGTAATCAATTTCCTTTTTTAATTGGCGATAAAGCCACATAGAAAAGTAGAATGTGGTCTAGCACTTCTCATTACTGTGATGCAGTAAATTAAAATGTTTGTGTGTTTATGCACATCTTAAGCTGATTTTAATTGGCTCTGACAGGACTATTCTCATTGCTGTATTACAGCAATAAACATTGTCTTAAGAAATAATGAGAATTACAAACAAACTCAAATGTAAAACATCAAAGCAATTGTGGGGTGAAATATGATGTGCACATGCTTTGTGAATTTTGGCATAAGAGTTGAAGTCACAGACCCATTTAATACATATGATACAGTACTGGCAGTGAAGTAGTCCCAAGGATATCAAATGCACCATCCTAAGGAGCCAGTATTGTTTTTTTCACTCTCACATTTTTTCACTGCTTAATGTGTAGATGGAGAGCTCTGGCTAGCCAGCTGTTCGCAGGACTGCCTGATCAGAGTGTGGAGACTGTTTGCCAAGACTGCCACTGAACCAAACCAGCAGACTGAGGCTGTTATCAAAATGAAGGAGAATGTTTTTCAAGTGTCTGGAGATGGTGAGGCTGGAGGTTTTGCATGATTGTAATTTAGTTGTGTGATGACTTATAGAATTTGGTTATTGTTGAGTTGATTAGTTGCTTGATTATCTGTTTTGAAACCATGTCTTGGCCTGTATAAAAAATCAAGGATTACGTATACAATGTTTTATAATCAGGGTCCAAAAATGAACTTGCCAGAACCAAATGCAAGAAAAAATTTTATTTGTCTAGTAAAGATTTAAGTAATGAAAAATGTGTAAGGATAATAATCTGCTCCTCGTTGCTTATTTCTTTCTGCTCTAGAGTTTGCTGTGACTCTTGAAACAGTGTTGGCTGGCCATGAAAACTGGGTTTATGGAGTTCACTGGCAACCTCCATGTGTCAAAGGTATTCCTGCATGCTTTTATTTTGTGATCAGTGAGCATGCGCTGATTTTGTTTCTTTTGTTTCTTCATATCGCTCTAATTTACTGTGAAATTATATGAATTTTCATTGATATTGTTTGCATATTTTATTTGGATTTATCCAGTCTCTGCCTCTATTTTGTTACTTGATGTCTCCCCCTGCAGGTGACTTAGTGGAACAGCCCCTGAAGCTGCTGTCTGCCTCAATGGACAAGACCATGATCTTATGGGGGCCAGAGGAGGATTCAGGGATGTGAATGGAGCTGGTAAAGTCATCTTGTTTACTAAATACTGATATTGGAAAAATTTTGAAGGTGGAGTAGAATGCGTGTGAATTTCCAGAAGACATATCTAAGGAATTTAGCTTCAGTTCCAGCCTTTCAGAGTTTCTGTATGTGTCCAATAAAGAAAGGGCGGGAAATTATGGGATAAAAAAAAAAAAAAATCTAACCTTTTTTCATAAACACCTTTTAAATCCAATCCAGTGCACTTCAAAGTGCTGTACAAACATAAACAAGTAACTGACACAAAATACAAGCAATGAAAATAACATTAAAGTAGTTCATAATAAAAGTAAAATAATAGAATACAATAAAATAAAAATCAACAAAAAGAAAGAACATAAATTATAATGATGCTAATAAATAAAATAAATATAAATACTTGAATAAAAAGTTACAGCACCACATAAAAGCCAGACTAAATAACAGGGTTTTTAATTCATGTTTAAAAATATCGATATTTTCTGCACCTCTCATTTCCTCCATCGGCATGGAGCATAATGACTGTAAGCAGCATCACCAAATAAGAGAGGAACCAGATGATCTGTGGGACCTTCGAGGTTTATAGACAGAAAGCATTTTTAAAAGGTAGTCTGGATGCAAGACCATGTAGTGCCTTATAAACTAATAAAAGTATTTTAAAATCAGAATGAAAACTTGCATAAAGACTTTAAATTGGCACAAGATCTAGTTCTAGACTCAAGATGTCTCCCATTGCAGACCCTACGTCAATGGCTTCAATCTCCTCTGTTTTTTTTTTTAATCTGAGCGTACAGATCAAGCTCCTGGAAAGAAATAACCCCATCCTGAGGTCATTTCCTTCCTGTCTTTCATAGACTCTCTGGTTGCCAGTCATGGACTTCTAGAATCCACAGCAGCGGCAGGAAGTGCTGCACAAGCTCCTCTGCTGTTACGCTCTATGGGTAATGCAGGGAACATCTGCCCATTCTCTGCTAACTGTGTCAAATTTAACCCACACACTGAGAATTGCTCAGATAAGCTTGTTCTCTGCCATCTGTGTGAGGGACTGTGAATGATTGGTGAGTTTCTCTCAGAAATGGGATGGCGATACCTCAGATAACCTTAAAACTATGTTTTTTCACTTCAGTCATAATAGGACGTTTTGATTGGCATTGCAGCAGCAGATAACAGGCTTGACTTCGTGGTTGATTAATAAGAGCTACTCACTTTGATCTTGGCATACAGACATAGGTGCACACTCTGGGCTCAGATCAATGGCTCCTGATTCTGACACTTGGCATGTTGTATGATGACGCACATGCTTTGTCGTACTAAGGCATGTCTTAAGTCCAATTAAAAATGAAAGACAGTGAGTTGTAGTTGTAGGAAGAAAGAGGTTGGTTTCAGGTCTTGTGTTGTACCTGGATGCAGTGGGGTTGTTCTGCATCTGTTATTTTCTGCACTGCATGTCTCTTCTGTATAGAGTGGTAAAGGGCCTATGATAGGAGGTAGGTGTGAACTGGGTTATCAGATGTGGATGAGTGCCTGGCAGATATTATATTTTATTTATATCTTTGTAATTTAATATATATAAATCTATAATTTAATATGTATAAAAATCTGTAATTTAATATATATATATATATATATATATATATATATATATATATATATTATTTATATATATATATATACACACACACATTTATGATAACTTTATAATTTAATATACATAAATCATTATTGGGTAGATTTCTGCAACAGTGCAAATTAAGATTTCTACAACTGCACTTTACTCCTCTATATTTCTCAAATTAAAATGCTCAAGGAAATACAAACATAAAACATCCAATAACTAAATAATACATTTAAAGAATACTATTTAATGTCACTTTACTGATTGTTTTTGCTGCTGATCTTTGATTAAATTCCATACATTACATTAGTTTTGCTATAGTTTAAATTTTTTAATCTTGCATTTGGTGTGAAAAGGCTTTAACCATTGAACTTGCAATAATTACTTGTTCATAAATATGGCAGTTTATGTTAACTAAAACTTGCCTTCATGGCACAGTTATGGACTTACTGCAAGTGCCCTGCTAAGCAGAAAATGACCACCATCACTTTGGCTAATTAACGCATCCACAAAGAAGAGTCTCCTCCATAATGATTAGCCTAATTGGTCAGATTTAGTGGAGAGCTGGTTTGCAGTAGAGTGGCCAGGCAAACCGCTGTGTAAACTACACCCTCCTAAAAAGTCATGTTGCCAGTGAGCAGTGTGGGGGGACTGCAGGGACCATTTTGAGACTCTGTGAGCCATTAGTGTTGTGCTAATGGTTTATTTTCCCTGATAGCCCAGAAGAGAGAACGGATGAGTTACCATGAAAAATCTTTAACCTCTAGACCTCATGACCCACACCCACATCACCTAGAATTGACATACTATTGAGCTGCTCTCAGTATCCATCATAGTTGGATTGCTCACTTTCAGTCTCCCGAATCCTCATCTCATTCTCCACAGGAATTAAACCATGAGTAAAGCATTAGTTTGTCTGGTAGCGATTACCTTTATCTTGTAGTTCAAGATAAAGTGCAAGATAATCCAAGCAGTCATTTAGCAAACGCTTTTATCCACAGTGACTTGCAGTATACTTATTGAATCACTCTGGAGCAACCGGTGCTAAGTACCTTTCAAGGGCAGAAGGCTGATAGTTCATGGATTGCTTCTGCTGGGCTTCAAACCTACGTGTACCCATTTCTCATAGGTTCTATCTAAAGTGTTAATTTTTTTAAGTGGGAATCTTGCCATTGTTATTGATACCAGTTGAGCTACAAGAACCTACAATCTTTTGGCTACCGGCCAAGATCTGTAACTTCTAGACCACATCATTGTGGGCGCTGTTTGATTTCCAGGATCCCAACCTCAAGAGTTTCGTCACTCCCCTGAATTGTTTGGTTTCGTACAAATCCCATCCAAAACAGTGTGGTTTGTGTTACAACACACATCGTGCCACAGATCCATATTGGTGTTCCTTCCCTAAACAAGAGTGATTGCACATTTCACCCATGAGATTTGGCCGTGATATACGAGTAGCCATGTGGACGGAATTCAAAATCAATCTGGTTAATGTTGCATCACTCTTTCCAGAATGGCTCGCAGAGATCCATGCCATTCAAAGTGAAGGGCTCTCTTTATCGCAGTCATTAGTTCCGCCATATTCACTCCGTAGGATACGCTTGTGAAGGGCATCTCAAATATCTTTCTATTGGTGTACATGGGAGCGTTAAAATGTTGATAGCCCTTACCGTTTGATGGTTTGTGGATTTAGTTTTGAATCTGTTTTCCAGGCAACGTGTCTCTGTCTGAACTGTCCTGCATGTCTTGTGGCGGTGTTAAAATCTCAGCATTAGATGGCTGATTTGTCCATCTAGTGTTGTCGTTTTGTTGAAGAGCTTAAGCTAGCCACCTTATCTGGCAATATCTTTGAGGCATGCTCTGCTGGGCATGACAAAAGACTTGAATCATTGAGCGGTGACACCCCTGAGCGTGAGGAATCACTGCTGCTCTTAACACGGCTGCTGGAAATGTCTTGTCCTGCTCAAGGTCAACAGGAAACACCACTGCGATGGCTGTCAACTGAAATTTTCATACCTCCTTTTCACAGTTGAAAGTGTGATTTGATTAAATTACAAAATAATTTCTTCACCCGCTGAGTGTGTATTGGCAATGCAGATGTTGAGGCTGGAGTATCAGTCTTTGCTTGCGCACAATCATAAATAAAAGTAAAGGCAGGTTATCGCTGATGGCATAATCATGACTAATTATCTTGTTTTATACAATGTTACCGCTTGCTCCGCAGCACGACTCACTTCCCCCATTACCGTGAGACACTCGAGCAGCATTAAGCATGTTAGACACGGGCCAGACGGAGGGCAAGCCGTGCTACAGTTTGCTGAAAAACAATTACATTGCTTTGGTATTCATAGCCCAGCCCAGTCAGGGGAGTTTACACTGATTCATTCTTCATGTGACCATTTTGTCTCCCAGCTTTCCGAGGCTCACATTTGATTTAATGCGTGCGTGATTACATTCAACATCACATTAATGCATTCAAAGGAAGCAAACACAATTTATTTCTCATTTAATAGTCTCCTCTTTGCATACACCGTGCTTTTCGCTTGTCGGCATGATTAATTGGTGTCCTCAGACTGTTACTTAACGGAGATGGAGGACAGCTGTAGACTCTCAACTCGGATTGCTCAGGATTCATGACTTCTAATTAGTGGCCTGCTTGACCAGCCAGTTTATCGGGGGCAGTGACACCAGCGAAGGCCTCTCTTATCAAACGCTCACCATCAAGAACATGATGGAGAGCGCAGAGTGTAGTTCCAAGGTTTTTGTTTTCATATAAATGTCCTCTTTGGAATTGTATTTTAGCCACCCCAGGCAATTAACTCATAACAGCCACAGCATAATGTAATTCTTACTGTATAATCAAAGGAACAAATAATATAATTTATAACCACTTCAGACAGGATTTCAGAGTGGAAGACAGTCCACAATACCACCGTTCTAAGGGACTGTAGGTAAAGATCTGAGGTTCCAAAAAACATTGTTAGTTTAAAGAGAGTCCTGTTGTTACCAACGTACTTTAGCAATTCAGTGTTTCCCAAAACCATAGTTCCAACGAACATTAATCAACAGCTTCACAATGTTGTGTGGTTGGAACTGCAGCTCTCAGTCTGTGGTGAGAAGCACAGCTTCTTTTGGATCAAGCTCTTGAGCAAAATAAGCTATATAAATCAGACCAGGCAACTGTATTGCCCAATTTTGGTGAGCCTGTGCAAACTGTAGCTTCAGTTTCCTGTTCTTAGCTGACAGAAGTATCACCCGGTTTGGTCTTCTGCTGCTGTCGCCCCTCTGCTTCGAGGTTGCCTTTCTCTCAGTTTGAATCATTCTGACCATTCTCCTCTGACCCACGGAGCTGCCGATCACTGGATATTTGCTCTTTTTGGACCATTTTCGGTAAACACTAGAGATGGTTGTGTGTGAAAATCCCAGTAGATCAACAGTTACTGAAATACTCAGACTAGCCCGTCTGGCACCAACAACAATGCCAAGTCACTTAAATCACCTTTCTTCCCCATTCTGATGCTTGATTGGAGTAGATTGACTTGACCATGTCTACATGCTTTTATGAATTTAGTTGCTGCCATGTATTTGGCTGAATTAGATTTGTTAACGAGCAGTTGAAAAGGTGTATCTAATTAAGTAGCCAGTGAGTGTATTTGGAACCAAGGTAGTTCGATCAAATTGGATATGTGATGAAGTTAATACAATTTCTGGATATAGTCGTAACTAGCTTGTTAATGTTTCCAACAATACATCATACTATGGTAGTTAAGCATCAAATTACATTGTTGTATGAGAAACGCACCTCAGGGTGGGTAACCAGAATATTGAAGGTTTGAGTCCCTCAATGGGTTACCAATTCACCAGGTAGTTCTAAGTAGTCCTACAAGAATGTTTCAGGTTTGATTTGTGGTGTTGTACACTATAATATGGATAGTTTGAATATTTAGTTTCTCCATTATTTCTCGTTGACTCCTCATTAAGGTTCGTTTTGGGGAAGTTGGAGGAAACACCCTGGGTTTCTATGGATGCCAGATGAGTCCAGACGGCTTTATGATTCTGGCTCATGCCTTTCACGGAGCGCTGCACCTCTGGCACTGTGACAGCAACCAGGTCAGATGTAACTGACAACATCTGTCAGTAATGCAAAGCTTTTAATGCAAACATTCCTGTTTGCCTAATAAAAACTGACAAAATTCAAGTGTATTATGATTTATATACTAAATGGAGTAAATTAATATGGAGACTTCTGTTTTGCACAGGGAGAATGGAGGCCTAGTGTGGTCATTTCGGGTCACTTTGGCGCACTGCAGGACTTGAGCTGGGACCCTGAGGGAGAGTTTATCATCACTGTTGGATCAGACCAAACTACCAGACTCTTTACACCCTGGACCAGAAAAGGATGCTCAGAGGTTTAAACATATGTCAACTCTTTGTTTTCCAGTGAGCATACATCGTCAGACTTTTACGGTTGATCAACGCTTTCTGTATTTGCAGATTACCTGGCATGAGATCTCAAGGCCGCAGATTCACGGTTATGACATGCAGTGTCTGACTATGGTTGGGTGTTTTCAGTTCGTGTCCGGTGCAGATGAAAAAGTCCTGCGGGTGTTCAAGGCTCCAAGGAATTTTGTGGAGAACATTGCTAACATATCATGCACCTCTGTGAAGAAACTGCTGGGCTGTAATGTAAGTACTTAGAATCATCTCATCTTTAAACTTTAATTGGTTGCATCAAATAAAACCTGGGTTTTAATTACTCTTTGCGCTGTCTTGGATCAGCGAGAGATTTTAAGATGAGTCTCACATTTTCCCATTATCTTAATCCTAATGTTTATGCACATGCTCTCAGATATATAGCTAAAGGAGTTTCATTTTCTGTAACTTGAGGTCATGGTAAATGAGACAACATAAATGGGATTCTCAATTCAGGTTGATCTTGTGTAATTTAGCGAATATCACGTGGAACGCTTTGGCTCTTGTGGAGAATATCACGTGGAGCTCTTTGGCTCTCATTTTGTGAGAATTTTGCTTTTATACAACAGTTGTTATAGAGTATCTTGCATTGCAGACATAATTTAACAAGTTCGCAATCTAGTAGAAGGGTTTATATAGAGAGGTTTTTCAATGTGTCTATGTCTCCTGGGTGTTCAGGAAATAGCAGATCTCCCAGAGGGAGCCAGCACTCCTGCCCTTGGCCTGTCCAACAAGGCCGTGTTTCAAGGTATGAACCCTTTGAATTCGTTGACCACAGGAGAATTTGCATTGAGCTGATCCTGAGAGCGGTGAGGCAGTTGCTAACCTTTACTGTGGCGTCTCATGTGTTTACAGGTGACCTGGCATCTCAGAGCCCTCAACAGGACAGTGAAGATTTCAATAGCCTGTCCGACCAATATAAAGAATCCTACTTTCAACCTCTCAAACTCATTTGGTATTTGTGTATAGTTTTTTTCCCTGCTTTTTTTCCTCAACTATTGCATTAAAAATGAACTGTGGTTGGTCATTTTTTCATTTCAGTCAATTGGCCTCTTTATCTCCAAGTAGACAGTTCTTTCCTGAAACGAAATATAAAATGCATCAGACTTTATGGCAATAGTCAAAAACTTCACCAACACCAGGTAGACACTGTAAGTGGACAGTTCCTTGGTTATTCCATGAAAACACAATGATATTCTACATTTGTGACTAGCAGTTATTAAAGACTGTTTTCTCTGGGGCATGTATCAATGTATCTGGGGCATGAATCAGAGATACTGGAGACAAATGTTATTACAGCATAAGGGGGGGTGGGGGGAGGGTGAGTGTTGAAGCAGGGGGGTTTATGCCGCTCTTGCTCCAGGCTAACAGTGGAAAACGTTGTCAATGTGATTGAAAAAGCTCCTTAATCTGGAATCATAATTAGAAAGAAGGCTTATATAATTGCAAAGTTAAAATATTGATGACTCTGGGCGATGGGGAGCGCAATGAGGCGGACACAGAGTTGCTAATGGAATAATACCACACCCTCCATCTCGCTTCTTCTGGAGGGGCAAAGAGGGAAATAATTAAAATAAAACTGCAAACCAGGGATGAATAAAAAAAAAAGCTTGGTCTCCATTCCATTTCAAATGGGGCATGTGTTGCATAAGTGTCTGTATATCTAAATGAGACAATATTATTTCAGGCTTGCATAAAGAGAGCCAAATTTGATTTATAGAATGTGGTAAAGCTAACATCCATTGAAAATTGTAGATAAAGCTGCCGTTGTTCCAAACAGCTTTGAGTAAATTGCTCGTCTGTGTATCTGTTGCTAAATTAAAATATGAGCCTATTGAAAAATACAGCCTATAGGTGTCTGCTCATCTCCCATAATAACTGTGTTTATATTTTGTGACTCCGTGTGTGTGTATTGACAGAGCCTCCGACAGAGGACGACCTTTTGCAGAACACACTGTGGCCAGAGGTACAGAAGCTGTGAGTTTCCCATCAATTATCATTTGTGTTCGTCTGCCCTCATTGGCTGTTCTGCAGCTGGCACTAATGCTGCACCGCATTATTGCTTAACCAGCTTCTGTGATATAAATAATGCAGCGTAATAGGTATTTAGAGCTCATGACAAGAATAATTAATCCTGTATGCTTTGACACTATACAGGAAAAGCCTAAAATTGTTCATTAAATATATATATCTCTCCTTAACTTTCTACAGCCAAACTAAGACACAAAAATATTGTATGCAAGTATGCTAATGCTTCTGGTTATGCAAGTTCGATGTTGTGTCATTGCGTTCACATCTGAAATGTGTCAGACTGCAAAGGGTGTTATAATGGATATTAGAATAAACTTTAGACTGACTGATAGTAATAATAATAATAATAATAATGATTTTATTTTACAAGCAGTAGCAATTATTTTTTAAGTGTCTAGTAACCAATATGTAGCACTGATATTTACCAGTTGTTTTATGCATGTGTTTTATTTTTTAAACAACAGTGGAGATTAAAATAATCATTATTCTACAAAAGGCAATTTTGCAAAATACAATTAAAAAAAAAATAGTTTTAGTTAACAAAAACAACACTGCAGCAGATTTGCTTAAACTGTTCAAATGTTTATATCTGAATAGCATACGGATTAATGGCTCCGATATTTGAAGTCTCTATCGATCCCTTGTGAACTGAGGATAGTTACTGCCACAGCAATTCAATGGGGTGTTTGCAATGCATTAGCCAAGCATTTGTGCCAGTGTTTGCTTACTTGCATACAGTATTTTCTGGCCTAAGTTTCCCGAGCTTTTGTTAGCCCAGAATAATGCCTGTGTTGCACTAAAATGACATATGACTCTGACATTTGCTGAAACTGTAGGCAATATACAACAGAATTGGATGCTTAGTGGTATTTTGCACTGGTTGGTGGGAAAAATGGGCATATTATTCACAAGAAGTTTTGCAAAATTATTACACATTGACAATATTTTTCACAATTAAATATTCATGCCTCTCCCAAGGCATTTACAATCAATTGAAATGTACAGATTTGCAATTTTTTTTATCTTGCTCATAAGAATTCAAAGCCAGTTTCCTTGATACACAGGCGACACTGAATAAACTGTTATAATTTACATGCACAGCTGTAAGCAGCTGAAGGCTTTGACAGCCTGGCTTGCCGAGCTATTCATCCAGTGCTGGAAATTACTAAGCAAATCTGCTAATAGCTGCCAGAGCGCATGGCTTTCTTCCACTCCCATAAGCACAGGAGAGCACGCACGGCAGCCCTGACACACCAAGCATCCGTCGTGTTTGAATCACCGCCCCGACTGTCTCTCTGAACCTGTCACGGTGCTCAGGCTTTATTTGTGAGCAGGTACTGACAGAGCCCTCATTAACATACCCTCTTTCCATGTCACTCTCTCCACAGGTATGGGCACGGCTTTGAGATGTTTTGTCTGGCATCGAATTCTGCGAGGACTGTGGTGGCTTCAGCATGTAAGGTACAATCACATGGGTGACCAGATGGTCATTAGTGTCACACAAATGTATCCGTGGACTGTAATAACAGAACACAGAAGAGCATGCATGCTTGAAGCTGCACCGATCCTTAAGTGGTTTTAAATGTTTAGTCATTTGCCATTTTAACAAGCTTGTGTCAATTTAGACCCTAACATCCATGTGTAAGTACATTTTCCTTCTCTTTGATGTAATGAGCCGCATGTCGTATTAAAAACACATTGAACTTGCATGACCAGGGTTGGTTAACCAGCCCTACGTGCCCTCCGGCCGGTGTGACACATTCTTGAGACAGTTGAAGGGAGATCATTGGTTTGTGTCCCAGTCTGGCCCCCGTGGTTCTGCCAAACCCACACTGATCGCGCACAAAACCCTTCCGAATGAAAGCACATTCTGCGTGTCACCTGCCATTGTTCACGCTCGAGCGGAGATTGTGAGGTTTATTCGGTGGAGCTGATGGGGTCCTGCAGGCTCAGGTGACTTTGCTGTGGACGTGAGGTTTATTCTCTAACACTGCTGGCTGAGCTGCAAATAGGCTCTGCGGTTCAGATAAAAAGCACTAAAAGAACGACTTGCTTGTGGATGCTGGTGTGAAAGATCTACATGATCAACATGTGTCTTGTCACAGGCCTCTAAACCGGAACATGCTGCCATTCTTCTGTGGAGCACAACTTCCTGGAAACAGCTTCAGTCACTGCCCTGCCACAGCCTGACCATCACTCAGATGGCATTCTCCCCGAATGGACACCTTCTGCTCGCTGTTTCCCGAGATCGCACCTGGTCCCTATGGAGACAAGGAAACCCTGACTCAGATACAGGTCAGCACACCTCCCCTTATCCCTTATTCATCTTTGTTCCCTAATAGACAAGCGGTCAAGTTGAGTGTATTTTGACATGTATGTATGTATTATGTATAAAAAATATTAAACAAAATAAGAAATATTACCATTGTAATATTTTACTGTAAAATAAAATGAGTATTTAAGAAAAAATAATAATATAACAATAATAATAATATAACAATATCAGGTGTCATTGATACAAATATAAATATATATATATATTCCCCTTTCCCCTACCCCTCCATTTTCCACGTTCACGCGATCTCTGATGTGTGTGTCAGTAAGCAGCGCATTAATATAGAACGATAATTAAAGGCTCTAATGCTCACCAGCATATGTGTGTGTATTGTAGGAGCTAGACGACGTATGATGACGTGTGACAGCATAGTAGTGGTGTCCCAATTCTTAGGGGAATATTTTCATCCCTACCCCTTGACACTCTGTTTCAAGGGACAAGGGGAAGGGGTATAAAATAGAATTGGGATTGGGCCTATTAATCTGTTTGGTTGAGGTGAGCATCTGTGTTGTGCTGTTGTGAAAAGCGAAAAGGTCTTCTGTATCCTGTCTAGTACTGACATGTTAAATATTTGAGCATTTGATGGAATGGGAAAGCTGACTGTGACATGAAGGCTTTATCCTCTAGCATCCAGTTTGGCATCAAGTCCTTGCACACTCAATAATTTATACTCAACGTACAGAAGCGCTCGTTACAGATTCATCTGCCTTGCCTTTCTTTTTCGGTTATATGGCTGCGTAAAAAGTCTGTGAGAGAGATCAACACATTACAGTGCAGAGTTTTTCTACGAGCCAGTGTCGGAATGAGAAAGTCCACTCAAAAAGGTAAGTTTTGTTATCATTTACTCACCTCTGGATAAATCTGGATCGCTCTTTGGATTTCTTGATTCTGATAGTTTCATTTATTAAATCCCTTATATTCACAACGGATTGTCTCTGTTTGCTGCTCACAATTCGAAGTCAATGAATGTGTGAACCCTTGTTACATTTTGCTAAATTACTGCTAGCACTGCACAAAGAAGGACAGTTTATTCTTCCTCGGCCAGGAAAATAATAGTTCCTTGACTCGATAAATGATTATATTGTCTGCTCGGTGGACGGACAGATCAAATAATTGTAATATTGATTCTGCTACAGTTAATTCGAAGATATAATCTAAATATTTATTATTGATCATAACCAGTTATAGTTAGTCTTAAATATTTCCCTTTTTAGAGCTAATAAATAAAACCCTACAGCGGTCTCATATAAGTCCGCTCATCCTGGGTAACTGAAACCGGTGCTACTTGCGTATCTCTCATATCACAACTGGCGCCATCTTGCATCTTTATTGATTGTTGTGAAAATGACTTAAGAATATTAGTGTGAATATTATAATGGACTATTTTTACTTATTTAAAGCTTTAAGATAATTACAGGTAAAATTATAAAATACCTTCAACTCAGTAGCTCCGTATTTAAATTTTGACAGGATTGCAAATGAGGCTATGACCCAGTAGGCAATTGATGTTGAATTAAATTGTTTGTGTTGACATCAAATTAACATATAAAAAAAGGCATATATATTATACCAATTTCAGAGTTGGATTAACTTCCTATTTTCACCCAAATACCTGTTTGTTACATGATGCAAAGATAGACCAGTTCACACCAGAATACGCATGGAGTCCAGCCCAACAATTTTCTCAAATCTTGTACTGTATTCATGAATCTCTTTGCACAAATGAGTGTTGTCTTGCTTTAGAAGAACACAACATTTAGATCATTTTCAGTTTTTTAGTTAACATCACAGATTTAATGTCCAACACATCAGCTCTTGACTTCATTTCCAAGGTTATTGCCAAGACAATCTTAAACGACCAGATGTGCATTCCACAGACCATGATACATTTTCGAAAGCAACGTGTTAGCAGGTTAACCTTGTTTCGCTTGATTCACAAACACATGCACACACGGTGATTTGAATCCACAGTATAGAACATGTCCAAAAATAAATCATATAAAGCACTACCTTGGTCTTTATTCAGTTTTTGTGTTTTTTTAGTGATTTCCTTCAAATGAGACTACATCACAAATTCACTTTTCCCATAATGAACAGTAATGACATGAATACATAGACGAATTTACAAAAGTAGCTGATGCTCCCTAGCTCTGTAAGACATTGTGCAAAGTTCACTGCACACAGTAACATTTCTATAGCAACTATGAGGTAATTTCACTGTTGCTAAGAGCTAGGTGATGAATTTCACAATGTCACTGATACTGGGGCAGACCTCTGCCATTTCTCCCCTGGAACAGGCAAACGTGTGCCCTCCACCCGAGCCCTTTTAGCCCAAGCTATAACCGTTGGGGATACACACACATGTTGGGTTTTTAATCAACCAAAAGAAAATTTAAAAAGCAAGAAATAAACAGAGGGCGGATAAACTGAGAGACCTTGCCGCAAAGTCAAAACAAGGCTTTGTTCATACGTGACTCGCTCTTATTAAGTTAATTACACTTGTGCTAATTTTTCAGTCCCGCTGTTTAATACAATATCGTTCTTCTGTCTTGCTGTGTGGACCACTTCTTTTGTGTAACCTCGCAGCTTTCTGTGAGGATATTTTGGTTTTGCTCTGCATGGAGTGCCACTTCCCTGTTATTATCGCAATTTGTGAGTATTCTTGTTCTGTAACAGCCGGTCACGTGACGGCTATCGTACATCCAAAGCATAGGGTTGCATCTGCGTGTTTCAGTCCCGATATGCAGGATCAACTCGCTGGGCTGTAATGGAAGACTGACCCTCTAAAATCGCCAGTTTTGTCTCTTACGTCCCTCTCGGCTGGACCTGTGGCTCTTTGAGGTTGCACTCGCGCAACCTCTAACATGACATTACTTACGATAAATCAAAGTAGTACTTTCGATACTCTGTTACCAGGACAGGCCTACATGAAGCTAGCTGCTTTTAAAGAAAAACAATGTGCGGTACACGTCTATCCAGGTGAGAACAGTTTGCCCGCGTTACCCTGAAACACTCCCTTGTCGTCTTTAGAAAAAATGTAGATGCTAATAGTCTTATTTACCATTAACCACTTTTTCACACCATTGGGACACTGAAGCAATACAACAAATTCATACCAGTTGCAACGGCGTACGTGTCTCTTCCTGGTTCGTTGACTGTTTGTAAAGTTCTCCGAGCACCAGGCGTCATCAGAATAATTAATTTCACAGCATATTCAAAGCTCACTTTGATGTTCGAATATGGTATTTACATGGCCGCTGACTTGGTGAATAAAGAGGTGGAGTCCTCGGTCACATACGCTGCCCATTTCCCGCAAGTTCCAGCAGAACCGAGGCTGCCGGCGGAATCGTCTCTTTTTTTTCAGGTAAGGCTACAGCTCCTGTCCTGCGTTGATCTGCACTGCTGTTTGGGGGGGTGTTGAGTCCATCTAGTTAGGAACGGGAGGTGACGGGACCGGGAGGATGGGAGTCTGGGTTGGGTTGCCATGTGAGGGCCTCCGGTCACCTCCCTTCTAGCCTGAAAGATCAGTTCTGTTCTGATGTGGCCATGGATGGTGGGAGGGGGGTCACGAATGCATGAAGAGTTGGACCCCCCTGGGTTGCTCACACGCTTCTGTTAACCGCTGATATTGCTCAGTCTGTCTTAAAATAAAAAGCTGATCGCTTCCTTGGAGTGCAGGGCAGGCGGTGGGCCTCACAGGCCGGACACCATGACCCTGTAGGAGGGGGGCATGTGTCTGTGGCGTGGGCTGGAGGCTGGGCTGCTCGTGGGACTGCTGCAGCTCGCGTCCACCCCTCCTATGGAGGGCAGATAGGCGTGATGCAGGATAGGCAGCTGTAGGGACAGCCTGCGCTGTATGCTGCGAACACAAACCACAATCAGTTGTCATATATATAAAATTCCTAATGTTCTGTAATGCTCTTTAGTGATTGTGTTTAACATTGGGGACACTCTTGCATGCATGTAACAGAAGTTCATCTATAATTATATCACATATTCACAGGGTACATTTAAACCAGCAGTGACTTTGTCACGTACATTGTGTTCCCTTCTCAATTAAGAATTCAAGGTTTAGCTGGTTAGCATGACCTCTTTAGTCCCTGCTAGATGATATACTACACCATCTGGACCTACACTGCCACTCAAAGTTTGGGGTTGGTACGATTTTTTAATGTTTCTCAGCAGCCATTACTTCAGTTTTCAGTGTCACGTGGTCTTTCAGAAATCATTCTAATATGCAGATTTAGTGCTCAAAGAAAAAAAAAATTGACTTTGTCACGTACATTGTGTTCCCTTCTCAATTAAGAATTCAAGGTTTAGCTGGTTAGCATGACCTCTTTAGTCCCTGCTAGATGATATACTACACCATCTGGACCTACACTGCCACTCAAAGTTTGGGGTTGGTAAGATTTTTTAAATGTTTCTCAGCAGCCATTACTTCAGTTTTCAGTGTCACGTGGTCTTTCAGAAATCATTCTAATATGCAGATTTAGTGCTCAAAGAAAAAAAAAATTATTATTAGCAATGCTGAAAACGCTAGTGAAGGGTTTGGGACTGTGCTTGTTCTTGTGGTGCCATCAATCCAGTATGCACCTTACTGTGTGGATCACCTGAAATAAAGTCCATTTCATTCCTGTCTTGTGTCAGATTCAAACTGCACCCCAAGAGGCCGAAGCCCTTTAAATCCATAACAGAAGCCAAATGGCAGTTATATAAAGCGCAGACACCACACCTCTCACGATTGGTTTTACGATTGGAGTCTCTTTGAGTTATTACTTTCAATTAAATATTAATTTCATACATCAATTAAGGAAAATGTCTTCTGTGTTTAGAAATAATTAACATCGATTAGCCAGATGTTGCAGGTTCACATGCAAAAACAAAACAAAAAAAATGTGAATGTCATTAAACTAAAAACTTATTTGTTTATCCCTTACTGCAGACATAGAGAACAGGCTCAATAAATTACTCATTGCATATTCCCATGGCAGAGATGGTGTTATTTTTCAGGGTCAAGGGACCATCAGCTACTGGGGTAAGTGTTGTGTGTGTGTTTGATGAACAGAGACACTGCAGAATCACTCCTCTGTACAATCAAACATTCATGTGCTGGGACGGCCTGTCGTCCTCTAATTCTACTCTCCTGTCTATTTTCAGGGTCCAGTGCCTTCCGCTCTCACTAGAACTCACGTTATGTAACCAAAGCGCCCTCACCCCCTCTCTCTCTCTTTTTTCTCTGTCCCTGAACCTCTCTTAAGTGCTTTCATTTATTTTTTTTCAGTTGTGGGTGGTTTTGCAAAGAGGGGTGTTCTCATTCTAGAAAGTGTCTGATTGGATAAAAATCTTTGATATAAAACAGTAGTCATCAACATTTTTTGGCCTGTCTTCCCAAGAAGAATGCATGAATCTACTAGGATGTGGAGAACCTTTAAACAAACAGACAGTCCCTAAAACGTAATTCTGATTACTTTGATTTGATAGGGTGAGTGAATGAATTTTGTTATAGTGGCATGTGCAAACAAAGCTTTTTCTTAGACTCATACTTTCATCTTAATTTTTATAACAAAACATGTCTGTTTTATAATGTAGATATACATATACATATACATCTTTTGTCAAATATTATGTTTAGAAAGTGTGATTGTGGTTCTTAATCTTAAAAAAAAATCTTAATACATTTTACTTTGTCTGATACTTTGTTAACAAACGTAATTCATATATTTTTAGGTGTCACACATGCCAGTGTGTGAACTTACTGTTCTGGAGAGTTGATGTCGTCTAGTTGACCTCTGCTTATCCTTGAAGGATCCATGGATCCCCACTGAGCCTGGGGTTTTTGTTCTAAGTGGTTCTTCAGAGATTTCTCTCCATCTGAAAACAAGGGCATGATGTTCAGAACGCTGCCTTTCCATCAAGATGTCAGTGGTGGATTCAGCTGAAGAACTGAGTCAGAACTTGCACCTTATATGACACTTCAGCTTGACATGTTTGGGGTGAATAATGTATAACGCTCCAATAAATTGTTCTTTTTCTCTGGGTGACAGTAACAGAGGAAGAGTGTGTCACAAACTGAAATGAGATGCCAACTGACAGCTGTGTGTGATTGACAGGTGAGGAACACGGGGTTTAATATCCACTTCTCTTACCTTTGCCGTCAGTGAAGTTAAAGAGGGGTGTTCTCATTCTAGAAAGTGTCTGATTGGATAAAAATCTTTGATATAAAACAGTAGTCATCAACATTTTTTGGCCTGTCTTCCCAAGAAGAATGCATGAATCTACTAGGATGTGGAGAACCTTTAAACAAACAGACAGTCCCTAAAACGTAATTCTGATTACTTTGATTTGATAGGGTGAGTGAATGAATTTTGTTATAGTGGCATGTGCAAACAAAGCTTTTTCTTGGACTCATACTTTCATCTTAATTTTTATAACAAAACATGTCTGTTTTATAATGTAGAAGCATTTACATCTTTTGTCAAATATTATGTTTAGAAAGTGTGATTGTGGTTCTTAATCTTAAAAAAAAATCTTAATACATTTTACTTTGTATTAAGTATCTGTCTGATACTTTGTTAACAAACGTAATTCATATATTTTTAGGTGTCACACATGCCAGTGTGTGAACTTACTGTTCTGGTGAGTTGATGTCGTCTAGTTGACCTCTGCTTATCCTTGAAGGATCCATGGATCCCCACTGAGCCTGGGGTTTTTGTTCTAAGTGGTTCTTCAGAGATTTCTCTCCATCTGAAAACAAGGGCATGATGTTCAGAACGCTGCCTTTCCATCAAGATGTCAGTGGTGGATTCAGCTGAAGAACTGAGTCAGAACTTGCACCTTATATGACACTTCAGCTTGACATGTTTGGGGTGAATAATGTATAACACTCCAATAAATTGTTCTTTTTCTCTGGGTGACAGTAACAGAGGAAGAGTGTGTCACAAACTGAAATGAGATGCCAACTGACAGCTGTGTGTGATTGACAGGTTCTGAAACGCCTTTGGAGACGGCTTATGGCAGAGAAATGAACATTCAATTCACGGGCAACAGCTCTGGTGGACATTCCTGCAGTCAGCATGCCAATTGCACGCTCCCTCAAAACTTGTGACATCTGTGGCATTGTGCTGTGTGATAAAACTGCACATTTTAGAGTGGCCTTTTATTGTGGCCAGCTTATGTGTGCAATTATTGTGTGCAATAATCATGCTGTCTAATCATCATCTTGATATGCCACACCTGTGAGGTGGATGGATTATCTCGGCAAAGGAGAAGTGCTCACTAACACAGATTTAGACAGATTTGTGAACAATATTTGAGAGAAATAGGCCTTTTGTGAACAGAAAAAGTATTAGATCTTTGAGTTCAGCTCATGAAAATGGGGGCAAAAACAAAAGTGTTGTGTTTATAATTTTGTTCAGTGTACAAAAAAATGTAAAACATACAATAATAGATTTCATTACTGTAAAATACCTTCAGTAGTAAAAACATTTATTGATTTCACAACAAAAATGCATTCTGTTTCTCCCAAAAAATGTAACAGTATTTATATAATAATATATGTCTTAATATATATTTATACTTAATCTAATATAGGGGCAGTGTATTTTGATTTGATAAATAGATTCTTGTTTACTTGTTTCTGTAATTTTTTTTTCACAGTATTTGCTATTATTTTATAATTTAGAGGGAATAAATTAATATTATACAATTATAAAAACCCTTTAATCTGCATGGTGGTGCATTAGTAATTTTTAGCATCATCATTCATTTTTAATAACTTTTTAAAGTAGATTGTCATTCTAAGTATTTAATAACTTTGTAATTTATGATTGACGTCAATCACCTCTGTAATTCTCATTCGGAGGCGGTGGTTGTCTGACTGTAATCCATCCAGACGGGAAGTGTTGGCCTGGTTAACACTGGTTACTGAGGTGGACGTCTTGGAATCTTCCTTCTTCTGGTTCTGGGTGAGCTTTAACCTCCGGTTCTGTGTGGCAGCATCCGGGTTTGTTTGCATTGTGACAAACTAACAAAAGAGAGGACAAAGACATAGGCAAAGGCATTGATTCTGTGTAGGATGTATTGGTTTAGGGAGAGAGTCGAATCTTTGCAGTCTTTCAAATTTCAGTGTGTTTATGCAAAGTAAGCACTGTTCTCAATTATATGTAGGTGAACTTGCTAGGGATTTGCACAAATCAAATGCCAGAATGTGCCTTTCATTGACCTCTACAATTCTTTCCCGATAGGGCTGGATCAGGCCGTACATTGCAGTACTTACTTTTGGCACAAAAACCAGACACAGCGTGATGGTGCTGCAGAAGATGATGACCAGTGCCACGATGCAGAACTGCACATTAGGCTGATCCCGGGTCAGGAAGGACACCGCTGCTCCAATGATACACATGATGCCCACATTATACACACTCATGCCAATGTACTTGCTGTCATTCAGGGCTGGAATGCTCACGTTTCTGGTCTCCCAGGCCAAGAAACATCCAAACAGCTAGACAGAGAGAAAAATGCAACGAATTACTTACCATTACAGGTATAAGGGCAGTTCAAATCTTAGGTTTGGCAAACTTTAGGGTGTGCACAGTTACATGCAAATGTATTTTATGTCAGATCTAAGGCAGAATAAAATTACTGGTTATATGACATTTTCCACTGACAACCATTTTCACCTTCATCACTGTGTGCAGCCCTCAGGTTACAGTGATGAATCATAAAGCCAAAGAGAATGAAATGTGGCTGACTTATTTAGCACCCTAATGCCTCTAAAGTCAGCTAACAACACCTGCCCAACTTTCTCAGGAAGTCAGAGCAGTAATCAAAGCACCTTTGTGTGAGACTAGAGTGAACTCTGAGAAATATGACTCAGCTAACTCAATGACGCACACTCCGAGATTTGATTCTGCACCCACTCGCCTCAAATCTATTCAATCCTAATCCAATCACAGCCCGTCTCACTCTTTTTCCTCGTTCACCCTTTCATTCTCTCTTTCTTCTCCTGTTTTACTGGAACACGTCGACTGTAAGTGAAGCCCTGCTGATTTAGCAGCAGGTTTTCAAACATGACAAGAGGAGAGTAGAGGAAGTTCTGAAATGTCACATATCTGAGAATGTGAGTGAGATGGCATATTCACTTGTCCACTATTACGATTTGATGACTAGTCTCATACAATTTAAAGCAAGTGATCAATTTAACATTGATCACTTCTTTCCCAACACGACCTCCCACCAAATCTATCACAGACGAGAAGAGAGATGAGAGGTAATGGCCTGCCAGTCAACAGAACCACCTGCCGCTATTGCAGCAAGAACAAACTGACAAATCATTTCTACAGAGCACAAAGTTAGTCGGAGGGCAGGTTTTTATTGGAGGATGTTGCCACCATTGACTCAGAGATAATGGTCAGTGCTATGGGCAATTAACTGACTGGAAACATTTAGGTTTCTGGGGCACCTTACCAGTAATCTAAAGTGAGGTTAATTGGAAAGAGCAATCTCGCTCTCCTATGGATACAATGTGTCAAAATCCAGTCAGTGAGCTTGCTAGATTTGCATTTCCAGTAGGAAAGACCTGTGCTTGCAAGGCAGCAAAAGAACAAAGCTAAGGTATTCAGCAGTGGTTCTCAACTTTTTTGACTACAAGTCCACCCATTTTCAAAAACACAATATTTGAAGGTCCACCAATATACTTCTGGTATTATCCTATAATGACAAATCTGTTCATTTTCAAACATTGTTTAAAGAAATCTGGAGTAGCAATATAGTAAATTAATTCAATAAAATTATTACATTTCAAAATTCCAGAAGTTTCAGTAACTCAATGTTCTTAATGAATTTGAGTAATTTGTGATTACAGGGTTGTTATTTATGTATGTATGTACATATGTATGTATGTATTTATTCATTCATTCATTCTCACAAATAACACTTTCCACAAAGTAAAATCATTTAGAGCTTGACATATCTAAGAATTTATATTCATTCTAAAAAATATTTGAATGCCTAGAAAAATGCCATGGAAATCACACTTTTAAAATTCTGTGGTAAGACCGTGGGACTCTTAAAGCGGATATTGTATGCAAAATTCCCTTTTAAATGTTGTTTGCATATAAATGTGCCTTAACAGTATGTGGACACAACCACCCTACAATGATAAAAATCCATTTACTCTTTAATCCCCCAAAAAACCTAAACTCAATTATCAAGCCGTTTTGATTTTCTGAGCAGCATGATGTCATACTGCTCTGTCCCCGCCCATGACCGCTGACTGACTGTGCCATATTAGCATATTTCCGCCCTCAGCCAGTTGTACGCTGTCTGACATTTTCTCCAAGCTCGAGTAGCTGCAACGACAACCATGTCTCGGAAGCGATGCAGGTGTATTGTAGTTGGATGTAAAAGTGAACATAAGAGTCTTCATTTTCCCCCAACATCTGAGGATGCAGTGGATTAGTTTTGTTTTTGATGGTAATGCACCACCAAATACACACACAAAAAAGAAGAAGCAGAAGAGAGGGGTTGGGTGAGCTGCAGCTCATTATCATTTAAATAGACATGCACCGAAACGGGTCGCTGCGAACAGAGGATGTTAATACATGTAATCAGGGATTGAAATTAACTTTTTCACTCAACAGCCAATTTAGCTACCACATTTTTAAGTTACTGGCCATTCATAACTTCTACTAGCCAAAAAAGAAAAGAAAAAAAAGATAGAAACAAACCAACAGTTTGAGTCTGTCTACACTGGGCATGACAAAGCGACCACTGCTAATCATATTGTGTCAGTATAGGGTTGTGCCCTATTGACAAAAAATAATATCTCAATATTTTCTGGGATTTTATCGATAAAGATAATTAGACGATATTTTGCTGAGTGTGTTAATGTGCTGATATCTTAAGGACTACCGTGGACAGCTGACTCCTAAAGTTTTTGATATTCTTCATATTCTGTGTGGTCAGTACACAGCAGTGATAGAAATTAATCTTTTCCAATAAGTTTCAATTTATTTTTACCTTTTATGGGCATTTTTACCTTTATAAAGCCATTTTTTCCTAAAAGTGTACATCACCATGTATCGTGAGATTTTGTGTGAAAACCTCCTTCCATCAGCAGGGGCATTGAAGATGAAATGTGGCTGGGTCTTTCAGCATGACAATGATCCCAAACACACCGCCCGGGCAACGAAGGAGTGGCTTCGTAAGAAGCATTTTAAGGTCCTGGAGTGGCCTAGCCAGTCTCCAGATCTCAACCCCATAGAAAATCTTTGGAGGGAGTTGAAAATCCGTGTTGCCCAGCGAGAGCCCCAAAACATTACTGCTCTAGAGGAGATCTGCATGGAGGAATGGGCCAAAATACCAGCAACAGTGTGTGAAAACCTTGTGAAGACTTACAGAAAACGTTTGACCTCTGTCATTGCCAACAAAGGGTATATAACAAAGTATTGAGATGAAATTTTGTTATTGACCAAATACTTATTTTCCACCATAATTTGCAAATAAATTCTTTAAAAATCCTACAATGTGATTTTCTGGATTTTTTTTCCTCATTTTGTCTCTCATAGTTGAGGTATACCTATGATGAAAATTACAGGCCTCTCTCATCTTTTTAAGTGGGAGAACTTGCACAATTGGTGGCTGACTAAATACTTTTTTTCCCCACTGTATTTACACATGTTAATGTAGCTTAGAGGGACATGTCATGGAATGCTTTAGCCTGCAGTTACAAATGCATAAATAATGTTTTGATATTTTAATACAACAGTGGCAACTTCAATATGAAAAATAAAACATTGTTCCCTAACAAATATCCAAGAACTCTAATTTGTGTCCACCGTTATAATATTGTCTATAGGTAATGAACATTAGTTAACTGCAGAGAAAAAAGAAAGAGGAATATCAGTAGAGTGTTGCAGTGCAGGCATGGCATTTGTATTTCCTGATTTACCACAAGAGACTCAGAATCCAATATTGGGAATGCATTTCCATGACAGTGAATGTGATGTATTATATATTATAATTTACCAAATATAGAAGGAAGCGGTAGAATATTCAGACGCCATTGTCGGCGGGAGCAGATGGCGATCATGTTGACGCTCTCTAGAATGTTCTCACTCACCATAAGGAGGCCTTTGTAGGCATAGACAATCCCCAGCCAAATGGTCATATGCGTGTTCTCACAGTGCTCCAGGAAGGGTCGGATTGCGATGTCTCGTCCCTGAGGATCCGCCTGTGGAGACACAGTGAGGAAACCAATGAGTGGAAATAATCCTGGCTTTAAAAACACCTTTGTCACTAACAACAATAACATTGAGCCCGGGTTTATTTGCCTTAACATAAAGGTTGATTTCGGGTTGAATTTATTAAGAAAATTTGTGTTTAGATTTAGAAGTAAATTGGCAAATTGCATTTGCACTGAGTACCAATACTGAGGCTAAGGGCATTATGGGAACTGGGATCATTTGATCTCCCATGGGAGACCAACCTTAATGGACTTTCACAGAGATAGTAAAAATAATATAGTCACCTCTACAGGATACCACTTGAGTATTAACGATTAACAATAACTCTTTATGGGACAGGCATCGATTGCTTGATATTGATCGAGATATTTACAGTCCTGACATGCAAAGCAGGTCAGGACTGGACTCTTAAAGGAGGCATGTGAAAGAGAGAAGACCTCGACTGAGTTCCCCTCAATGTACTGGGTCTAAAAGTAGCCAAGCTCTAACCCAATTTCTGCTGCCCCAGTTTGGAAAACCTCAAGCTTGCCATGCAACAACCCGGACACAAAAATCGACAGGGATCCAACCTCCAAACGCATCCCTAAGTCTCCCATTTTAGTCAACACCCGCGGCTTTCATCCGGCTCTTGTGTGGCTATATTTGCATGATTTGAGCATGGCATTAAGGAGTTCACCGCTCAGAAGACATCTTCACAAAGTGACAGAACGAGAAAACTGGGCCAGTCAATGCAAGAAGCTCCATGATGTATTCCATGAAGTGATGAATCCTAGAAGTCAAACTGTCGGACAATTTTTAAACTCAGCCAGAGAACAGATCAAAGAGGAAAAGCTGATGACAGACCTCTTGAAGTCTTAGAAGTAGTTTACTACATGTTTATGGGAAAATTGTTGATGTGATGTAAAGATGCTTCTACAATAGCAACAAAAGAAAAAGAACAAAGTAATGAAATAACTTAAAGAATAGCTGCCTATTAAACTGACTATTTTGACATCGAAACTTAAAATCAAATCATATATTTCCCTACACAAAATTGCTTCTGTTAAACATTCAAGTGCTCCATCTAGCCTCAGAAACCCACAACTAAAAAGATACATTTTGCTTAAGAAATGCTTATTTCCAACTGCACAACAACAAGACCTCCACTTTCATCATAGCTTAAGCTGTAGTTAGTCGAGCTGTGTGGTGTTGCCAGGCAACAGCCGGTGGGTTGGGCTTAAAGAGAGTGCTGGGCGCTCTGTTATTTCTCACTGCATTAGGCGTCTAATGTAATTGTTCAGTGGAAGCTGGAAGGATGTGTGACTGACAGAGTGTCTGTGGAGAGACGGAGACAAGAGGGACACAGTTAGCTGACAAGAGAGAATTATATCACACTTTATAGACTGGAATGAACCATATGGCCACTGAGAACTGGAAACAGACAGCCATTAACTGTGTATTAGTACACAGCTGCAGGTTTGCATACATGGTGGGAGAACAGGAGGGGCAGCATACGAATAAGCCTAAATAAACATAGAAATATAAATGTAAATAATTAGTAAAAACGGAATGATGATTGGTTGACATATGTGTATGTATATACTAACAGTCAGTAATATTTTTTTTGTCTTATGTTCACCAAGCCTGTGTGTGTTTTTTTTAATCAAAAATATTATTAAAATATTATAACAATTTGTAGGGAAAAGCCAATATACATACAGTCTGTCAGTCAAAGTGGAGGATAAACTCCAATTAAAGCCATGAAAGCTAAAGCCATGCTTGTTATTTTCTAACAAGAGAGCAGAATCAATCTAAAATGACAGGGAGAGTGACAGAAAGAAAGAGAGAGAGTCAGAGACTTCAGGGTAGTTTGCTTCCATGAGCATATATTTTATTCCATTGAGAGTTTAGTACAGCATGAATGAGATTTCTATTATCCAGCCTCTTTCTAAGACCTTTGATTTTGAACGAAGCTCTTTTTTAAGGGAAATTATAGTTATAATACACATTTGAATGGGCCAGTCACCCTCCTGTACATCTGTTTCTCTCTGACATGGATTCTTGTGACCACAGTCTCTTATCTGTAGTAATCCTTTTACATTATGTCCTGTGATCTCTTGGCGCCTGCGTGCCACTGCTTAATTGTACTATGGAGAGGCTGATATTGTTCAATGGAGCTGAGAGTTGTTTAACAAGAAGTTAAGTCAATTATTCAGCCATCTAATCTTAAGGTCAACTGGAGAGATTCTTCACTGACCCCCAGCAAAAAGCCATACCACACAGCAAAGCCACAACACACATTAAGGAACAAGGTTTAGCACTGTGGTTCAAAACCAACACTCGCCAACCCACCATGTAAAAATTGGCTTTGGTCAGTAAATACCACAGAGTTACTTGCCAGGTGGCCAGAACTGCAACATAATACATTACTTAAATAGAATGAAAAATGACAGGATGACCTTGCTGATGTCACATGATGGACTCAAAACAATTTATTCAGGCTGTCTAAAGTGGCACAATGTGGAATATTCACTGTAATAAGAAAAAAATATTAGGAACACACACACACACACACACACACACACACACACACACACATATATATATATATATATATATATATATATATATATATACACACTGTATATATGGTTTGGGGTCGATATGTTTTTTCTTAAACAGTTTTGTTTTCTTATTTTTTTCTTCATATCTTATTCTAACTAAAGCTGCATTTATTTGATCAGTAAAATGTCTTAGGTTAAGCATGTAACCATGGTTCCCTGAGAAGGGGAATGAGACACTGCTTCCCCTAGAGGGCGCTAGGGGAAATACGACAATGAACTTGACATTGGCAAGCGGAAGCCTATGACGTCACAACTGGTGCAGCCGAGAGTATAAAAGAGCACCTGTGAAATGCGTCATCCACTTGTCTGAAGGAGATGTGCAGGAATTCCTGAAGCAAGGCAAAGGGACACAGCGTCTCGTTCCCCTTCCCAGGGAACCATCACACACACACACACACACACACACACACACACACATATATATATATATATATATATATATATATATATATATACACACTATATATATGGTTTGGGGTCGATATGTTTTTTTCTTAAACAGTTTTGTTTTCTTATTTTTTTCTTCATATCTTTTCTAACTAAAGCTGCATTTATTTGATCAGTAAAATGTCTTAGGTTAAGCATGTAACCATGGTTCCCTGAGAAGGGGAATGAGACACTGCTTCCCCTAGAGGGCGCTAGGGGAAATACGACAATGAACTTGACATTGGCAAGCGGAAGCCTATGACGTCACAACTGGTGCAGCCGAGAGTATAAAAGAGCACCTGTGAAATGCGTCATCCACTTGTCTGAAGGAGATGTGCAGGAATTCCTGAAGCAAGGCAAAGGGACACAGCGTCTCGTTCCCCTTCCCAGGGAACCATGGTTACATGCGTAACCTGAGAGGTTCCCTTTCGAATGGGAACTCGTGCTGCATCCCCTAGAGGGCACTATGGGGAACGGTATACCCACACCGCCATGCTGAAGGGATTAGTGCTTTATTGGCTGAGCTAAGTCAAAGACCCAAAGGAGTCCTCACCCCTGCATCAGCAATGCAATTATATGCCGGCAAGAAGCCTAAATACGTTCTTATTCAGGCCAGCATCCAAGGAGGCTCACAGAGAGCCTAACACTCAGAGCTAACTGGCCTGCGAAGTTCTGCAGGGTGGAGGCCTAAATACAACATAAATACACATACATACTCAAATTAGAGGCGGCCAAGCAACACTCCATACTAAGGTCAGTAGCCAATAGGGATGTGCATCTCATGACTCAGGCCGATACGATACGCATCTCGATGCATAGCCAATGATACAATACATTAAAGATACATATGAAGCAGCTACCGATGCGATGCGATACGATTCACCCCTATCACAATGCAGTGCGATCCGATTTCGATTCGATTCAACACAATGCGATCCGATGCAATATGATGCAATGGAGAAAATATGATCACTTTTAATGCCTCTAGGCCTGTTTCATAAAACAAGTTAACCAAATAAGCCAGGCTAACTTGGTTCCATAAAGCAAATTTAACATAGACCTAGATCAAGCTAGTCACTGTGGCCACTTATGCTGGGAAACGAACCTGGTCTAAAGCAGGCTAATTGTCAGGCTAAGCTAAGTTCCTCTACTGACCAATAGGAGCACAATGATATTACCACTGTCTCACATACTATTATTTGACTTTTTTTTTTTTTTACAGTTTCTAGCCATGCAGCCTTTCTCTCTGGTTTTATTACAGCTGTACCTTTTATAGTTAGCAGAAAAGATAGCAGAACATTAGAACAAAATTGCTCTTTAAAGCATTAAAATAACTCAATTAAAAGTTCAAATCACTTTTAACAATAAATAAAGAAAAATACTACATTTTAACTGCTATAAGAAACACATATAAACTCATTTGAGCTTAGTAATTAGTAGGGCTGGGTTTTGACACAAATTTCAAGATTCGATTCGATTCTCATTCACAAGCTTGCGATTCGATTAGATTACCAATTCGATTCGATTAGATTCAATATCGATTATTTTGGATATATATCAGGTACAGTACATGCCAAATTTTCTCAAGGAAAAAAATCTCTCAACTAATGCTGTAAAATAGAGTCAGTTGGTACTACATTACTATAATATTGAAGGTTAAAATTGACTGATTTGTTAAAATTACACTTAATGAAGTTTTTAAAATAATAATATTACAATTACATAATATTTCTACTTAAATTCGTTTTTTTTAGATATAAACATAATGGTGGCTGTCATAAAAACAGTTTACTATGAATATTTAATATTCAAAATTAAACATTGAAGAACAGTAAAAATGTATAATGAATATGTTATATGGTGTATATATTTAGCAAAATGCCCCTCTCTACAGTTTATTTTTCTATCTGACTAATGAGTTTATGGTCACCAAATATGTTTTTCTGAGGTAAATGTGA